TGATACCTTAACATACATACATTGTATATTACCACTCAAGCTATACATCTTAACATACATATGATACCTTAACATACATACATTGTATACTACCACTCAAGCTATACATCTCAACATACATATGATACCTTAACATACATACATTGTATATTACCACTCAAGCTATACATCTTAACATACATATGATACCTTAACATACATACATTGTATACTACCACTCAAGCTATACATCTTAACATACATATGATACCTTAACATACATACATTGTATATTACCACTCAAGCTATACATCTTAACATACATATGATACCTTAACATACATACATTGTATATTACCACTCAAGCTATACATCTTAACATACATATGATACCTTAACATACATACATTGTATACTACCACTCAAGCTATACATCTTAACATACATATGATACTTTAACATACAAACACTGTATACTACCACCCAAGCTGTACATCTTAACATACATATGATACCTTAACATACATACATTGTATACTACCACTCAAGCTATACATCTTAACATACATACATTATATATTACCACCCAAGCTGTACATCTTAACATACATATGATACCTTAACATACATACATTGTATACTACCACTCCAGTGGAGTAAAATTTATATCTGTCAGTGTTGTTTGACTACATGATAACCTTTCTGAATATAATTACAAAATGTGCATGTTTTATTTTCATTTGGAAATGAATTGATTCAGTGTTTGAAATGACTATTATTGAGATTGCTGCATGTTTTGTGGCCTATACAGTGGTGTTCATCTTTGCCCTGGGACATGCTTGTCTTCATTTGTCTGTTCTTCCATACAACATTGTATGATGGTATCATCATGGAATCAGTGTTTTCTGCTGCCTCTACTCCTCCTGAACTGTTGTACTCAACTGTTCTTTCCATAAACAAGACTATATACCTTTCCTAAAATTCTCAACAAATTTTAATCTTAGATTAACTCACTATATCATTCAGTTGTGCACATGATTTTTTGATGTTGGTTTCAGCCAAATTGGCAGTGTTAATATTGCTGTCTTGTATGTGATTCATTGTTTTGACTGTTTGCCTGCGCACTGCACTCTAAGCTGAGTTTCTCTACTGTTGAGGCTTTCATTCTAATGTCATTTGTTTAATGTTCATTCAGTGTTAATACTAACTAAATCTCTCATATGAAGGATTAGAAAATGAGATGTATATATGTAAGCCTGTAATTATCTAACTTATGGCTTTCCTTGTTTATTGGGTAATTAGACCTGTTACCCTTAATTTCTTATTATTTTTTTCATTTAAAATAAATCATTAAAGAATATGGATACAGAGAAATATGGCAACAGACAAAGCCTATTAATGTCATGTATGTGGGTACAATATATTGATGATATATCATAGGTACAAATACTTTTTTAAGTCAACGTCATGATAATGAGACATCAAACTTACTAATTTTCTTTTACACCACGTACAGGAAATATGTCAATTTGTCATAACATGTCTGGGTACAGAAATTTGTTATGTTCCTGGGTACAGAGATTTGTTATGTTCCTGGGTACAGAGATTTGTTATGTTCCTGGGTACAGAGATTTGTTATGTTACTGAGTACAGAGATTTGTTATGTTCTTTGGTACAGAGATTTGTTATGTTCCTGGGTACAGAGATTTGTTATGTTCCTTGGTACAGAGATTTGTTATGTTCCTGGGTACAGAGATTTGTTATGTTCCTTGGTACAGAGATTTGTTATGTTCCTGGGTACAGAGATTTGTTATGTTCCTGGGTACAGAGATTTGTTATGTTCCTGGGTACAGAGATTTGTTATGTTCCTGGGTACAGAGACTTGTTATGTTCCTGGGTACAGAGATTTGTTATGTTCCTGGGTACAGAGATTTGTTATGTTCCTGAGTACAGATATTTGTTATGTTCCTGGGTACAGATATTTGTTATGTTACTTGGTACAGAGATTTGTCATGTTCCTGGGTACAGAGGTTTGTTATGTTACTGAGTACAGAGATTTGTTATGTTCCTGGGTACAGAGATTTGTTATGTTCCTGGGTACAGAAATTTGTTATGTTCCTGAGTACAGAGATTTGTTATGTTCCTGGGTACAGAGATTTGTTATGTTCCTGGGTACAGAGATTTGTTATGTTCCTGGGTACAGAGATTTGTTATGTTCCTTGGTACAGAGATTTGTTATGTTCCTGGGTACAGAGATTTGTTATGTTCCTTGGTACAGAGATTTGTTATGTTCCTTGGTACAGAGATTTGTTATGTTCCTGGGTACAGAGATTTGTTATGTTCCTGGGTACAGAGATTTGTTATGTTCCTTGGTACAGAGATTTGTTATGTTCCTTGGTACAGAGATTTGTTATGTTCATTGGTTCAGATATTTGTTATGTTCCTTGGTACAGAGATTTGTTATGTTCCTGGGTACAGAGATTTGTTATGTTCATTGGTTCAGATATTTGTTATGTTCCTTGGTACAGAGATTTGTTATGTTCCTGGGTACAGAGATTTGTTATGTTCCTGGGTACAGAGATTTGTTATGTTCCTGGGTACAGAGATTTGTTATGTTCCTGGGTACAGAGATTTGTTATGTTCCTGGTACAGAGATTTGTTATGTGGTACAGAGATTTGTTATGTTCCTGGGTACAGAGATTTGTTATGTTCCTGGGTACAGATTTGTTATTACAGAGATTTGTTATGTTATGGTACAGAGATTTGTTATGTTCCTGGTACAGAGATTTGTTATGTTCCTGGGTACAGAGATTTGTTATGTTCCTGGGTACAGAGATTTGTTATGTTCCTTGGTTCAGATATTTGTTATGTTCCTGGGTACAGAGATTTGTTATGTTACTGAATACAGAGATTTGTTATGTTCCTGGGTACAGAGATTTGTTATGTTCTTTGGTACAGAGATTTGTTATGTTCCTGGGTACAGAGATTTGTTATGTTCTTTGGTACAGAGATTTGTTAGGTTTGTTATGATTTGTTATGTTTGGTACAGAGTATGTTATGTTCCTGGGTACAGAGATTTGTTATGTTCCTGGGTACAGAGATTTGTTATGTTCCTGGGTACAGAGATTTGTTATGTTCCTGGGTACAGAGATTTGTTATGTTACTGGGTACAGAGATTTGTTATGTTCCTGGGTACAGAGATTTGTTATGTTCCTGGGTACAGAGATTTGTTATGTTCCTGGGTACAGAGATTTGTTATGTTCCTGGGTACAGAGATTTGTTATGTTCCTGGGTACAGAGATTTGTTATGTTCCTGGGTACAGAGATTTGTTATGTTCCTGGGTACAGAGATTTGTTATGTTCCTGGGTACAGAGATTTGTTATGTTCCTGGGTACAGAGATTTGTTATGTTCCTGGGTACAGAGATTTGTTATGTTCCTGGGTACAGAGATTTGTTATGTTCCTGGGTACAGAGATTTGTTATGTTCCTGGGTACAGAGATTTGTTATGTTCCTGGGTACAGAGACTTGTTATGTTCCTGAGTACCGAGATTTGTTATATTCCTGGGTACAGAGATTTGTTATGTTCCTGAGTACAGAATTTGTTATGTTCCTTGGAACAAACGTTTGTTATGTTCATTGGTTCAGATATTTGTTATGTTCCTTGGTACAGAGATTTGTTATGTTCCTGGGTACAGAGATTTGTTATGTTCCTGGGTACAGAGATTTGTTATGTTCCTGGGTACAGAGATTTGTTATGTTCTTTGGTACAGAGATTTGTTATGTTCCTGGGTACAGAGATTTGTTATGTTCCTGGGTACAGAGATTTGTTATGTTCTTTGGTACAGAGATTTGTTATGTTCCTGGGTACAGAGATTTGTTATGTTCCTGTACAGAGATTTGTTATGTTCCTGGGTACAGAGATTTGTTAGATTTGTTATGTTCCTACAGAGATTTGTTATGTTCCTGGGTACAGAGATTTGTTATGTTCCTGGGTACAGAGATTTGTTATGTTCCTGGGTACAGAGATTTGTTATGTTCCTGGGTACAGAGATTTGTTATGTTCCTGTGTACAGAGATTTGTTATGTTCCTGGGTACAGAGATTTGTTATGTTCCTGGGTTAGAGATTTGTTATGTTTACAGAGATTTGTTATGTTCCTGGGTACAGAGATTTGTTATGTTCCTGGGTACAGAGATTTGTTATGTTCCTGGGTACAGAGATTTGTTATGTTCCTGGGTACAGAGATTTGTTATGTTCCTGGGTACAGAGATTTGTTATGTTCCTGAGTACAGAGATTTGTTATGTTCCTGGGTACAGAGATTTGTTATGTTCCTTGGTACAGAGATTTGTTATGTTCCTGGGTACAGAGATTTGTTATGTTACTGAGTACAGAAATTTGTTATGTTCCTGAGTACAGAAATTTGTTATGTTCCTGGGTACAGAAATTTGTTATGTTCCTGAGTACAGAGATTTGTTATGTTCCTGGGTACAGAGATTTGTTATGTTCCTGGGTACAGAGATTTGTTATGTTCCTAGAGAGATTTGTTGTGATATGTTAGAGAGAGAGATTTGTTGTGTATCAGCCAGAGAGTGTATCAGCCAGAGAGAGAGATTTGTTGTGTATCAGCCAGGTAGAGAGATTTGTTGTGTATCAGCCAGAGAGAGAGATTTGTTGTGTATCAGCCAGAGAGAGAGATTTGTTGTGTATCAGCCAGAGAGAGATTTGTTGTGTATCAGCCAGAGAGAGATTTGTTGTGTATCAGCCAGAGAGAGATTTGTTGTGTATCAGCCAGAGAGAGATTTGTTGTGTATCTTAGTAGAAGATCTGTTTTGGTAATAAAGAATCAACATTTTTCTCATTATATGGTATTTTCAGATTTATTTTTTTTTAGCTGTTGAAATTTAATGAATTTTTTTCTTTATCTTATATTAAGATATACCCATACTTTCAATGTAGGCTTCATATCTCTCACAGAAAACTAGGCATATTTGACAGGTGATTTATTATTTGATTTTCTAGGTGGAACCAGCTGGACATTCTCATTGTCCTTCTCTCTATTGTTGGCATTATTTTGGAGGAAATGAAAACCAATGTCATCCCTATCAATCCTACGATCATACGTGTGATGAGAGTTCTCCGCATCGCCCGTGGTAAGTGTCTCACAATGTCATTCCTATCAATCCACCTCTAGGCAAGGAGCTGGTGGTCATCCTGTAGATAAGAGGTGGTGGTCAGCCTGTAGATAAGAGGTTGTGGTCAGCCTGTAGATAAGAGGTGGCAGTCTAGACAAGGAGCTGGTGGTCAGCCGGTAGATAAGAGATGGTGGTCAGCCTGTAGATAAAAGGTGGTGGTCAGCCTGTAGATAAGAGGTGGCAGTCTAGACAAGGAGCTATTGGTCAGCCTGTAGATAAGAGGTGGCAGTCTAGACAAGGAGCTGGTGGTCAGCCTGTAGATAGAGGTGGTGGTCAGCCTGTAGATAAGAGGTGGCAGTCTAGACAAGGAGCTGGTGGTCAGCCTGTAGATAAGAGGTGGCAGTCTAGACAAGGAGCTAGTGGTCAGCATGTAGATAAGAGGTGGTTGTCAGCCTGTAGATAAGAGGTGGTTGTCAGCCTGTAGATAAGAGGTGGCAGTCTAGACAAGGGACTGGTGGTCAGCCTGTAGATAAGAGGTGGTGGTCAGCCTGTAGATAAGAGGTGGCAGTCTAGACAAGGAGCTAGTGGTCAGCATGTAGATAAGAGGTGGTGGTCAGCCTGTAGATAAGAGGTGGCAGTCTAGACAAGGAGCTAGTGGTCAGCATGTAGATAAGAGGTGGCAGTCTAGACAAGGAGCTGGTGGTCAGCCTGTAGATAAGAGGTGGCAGTCTAGACAAGGAGCTAGTGGTCAGCCTGTAGATAAGAGGTGGCAGTCTAGACAAGGAGCTAGTGGTCAGCATGTAGATAAGAGGTGGTGGTCAGCCTGTAGATAAGAGGTGGTTGTCAGCCTGTAGATAAGAGGTGGTGGTCAGCCTGTAGATAGAGGTGGTGGTCAGCCTGTAGATAAGAGGTGGTTGTCAGCCTGTAGATAAGAGGTGGCAGTCTAGACAAGGAGCTAGTGGTCAGCATGTAGATAAGAGGTGGCAGTCTAGACAAGGAGCTGGTGGTCAGCCTGTAGATAACAGGTGGTTGTCAGCCTGTAGATAAGAGGTGGCAGTCTAGACAAGGAGCTGGTGGTCAGCCTGTAGATAAGAGGTGGTTGTCAGCCTGTAGATAAGAGGTGGCAGTCTAGACAAGGAGCTGGTGGTCAGCCTGTAGATAAGAGGTGGTTGTCAGCCTGTAGATAAGAGGTGGCAGTCTAGACAAGGAGCTAGTGGTCAGCATGTAGATAAGAGGTGGCAGTCTAGACAAGGAGCTGGTGGTCAGCCTGTAGATAAGAGGTGGTTGTCAGCCTATAGATAAGAGGTGGCAGTCTAGACAAGGAGCTGGTGGTCAGCCTGTAGATAACAGGTGGTTGTCAGCCTGTAGATAAGAGGTGGCAGTCTAGACAAGGAGCTGGTGGTCAGCATGTAGATAAGAGGTGGTTGTCAGCCTGTAGATAAGAGGTGGCAGTCTAGACAAGGACCTGGTGGTCAGCCTGTAGATAAGAGGTGGTTGTCAGCCTGTAGATAAGAGGTGGCAGTCTAGACAAGGAGCTGGTGGTCAGCCTGTAGATAAGAGGTGGTTGTCAGCCTGTAGATAAGAGGTGGCAGTCTAGACAAGGAGCTGGTGGTCAGCATGTAGATAAGAGGTGGCAGTCTAGACAAGGAGCTGGTGGTCAGCCTGTAGATAAGAGGTGGCAGTCTAGACAAGGAGCTAGTGGTCAGCATGTAGATAAGAGGTGGCAGTCTAGACAAGGACCTGGTGGTCAGCTTGTAGATAAGAGGTGGTTGTCAGCCTGTAGATAAGAGGTGGCAGTCTAGACAAGGAGCTGGTGGTCAGCATGTAGATAAGAGGTGGCAGTCTAGACAAGGAGCTGGTGGTCAGCCTGTAGATAAGAGGTGGTTGTCAGCCTGTAGATAAGAGGTGGCAGTCTAGACAAGGAGCTGGTGGTCAGCCTGTAGATAAGAGGTAGCAATCTACAGGAAATATGTGTAATGGATACATCATATTAACCAGACTTTGATTATTCTCTGAGGGTACCTTAGGGGTAGGGGTATTCATGACATTATGTTGTAAAATAGCATTGAATAAACTTAGGATTCAATGCGACAGACATTTCTATCACCTTCTCAGACAAACACCATCTTTATGTGTATCCTGACAATGTAACAAGAATCATTAGATTTTACCCTTAAAGGCCAGACACAAAGCCAGGTCCTTTCTGACATAACATTGTTTTAGTTTGTTTTCCAGATAATCACTTAATTGAAGAATGACAATCTTGATTAATACTTCATACAGTATTAAATACAAGGGAATGCATAGAAAGGTTTTTCCACATTATTTTCTAGTTTTTGTGTGCTTTCTGTCAAGACAAAGGTTTCTGTAGGGAAAACTTTCAATTGTTAAAATCTGTATATTGCTGTCGAGGTCTATGTTGCTGAGAAAATCTAATTAATGACATAAATGTATATCTATATATATATATATATCTATATATATATATATATAAAGGTGTGTAATGAATAATAATGTTTTGTTACAGTGCTGAAGCTGCTAAAAATGGCCAAAAGTATTCGTGCCCTCCTAGACACTGTCATACAGGCTCTTCCAAACACATTCCCCAAATAAAGATACATTGTAGATACATGTAAAATTTTCTTCAACACATTCCCCCATGTAAAATTTCTGTATAAACACATTCTCCAAATATACATGTAAAATTGTCTGTACCAAACACATTCCCCATACATGTAAAATTGTCTGACCAAACACATTCCCCAAATAAAGATCTGTAAATTGTCTGTACCAAACACATTCCCCAAATAAAGATACATGTAACACATTGTCATGTAAAACCAAACACATTCCCCAAATAAAGATACATGTAAAATTGTCTGTACCAAACACACATAAAGATACATGTAAAATTGTCTGTACCAAACACATTCCCCAAATAAAGATACATGTAAAATTGTCTGTACCAAACACATTCCCCAAATAAAGATACATGTAAAATTGTCTGCACTAAACACATTCCCCAAATAAAGATACATGTAAAATTGTCTGTACCAAACACATTCCCCAAATAAAGATACATGTAAAATTGTCTGTACCAAACACATTCCCCAAATAAAGATACATGTAAAATTGTCTGTACCAAACACATTCCCCAAATAAAGATACATGTAAAATTGTCTGTACCAAACACATTCCCCAAATAAAGATACATGTATAATTGTCTGTACCAAACACATTCCCCAAATAAAGATACATGTAAAATTGTCTGTACCAAACACATTCCCCAAATAAAGATACATGTAAAATTGTCTGTACTAAACACATTCCCCAAATAAAGATACATGTAAAATTGTCTGTAAACACACCAAACACATACCAAACACCCCAAATAAAGATACATGTAAAATTGTCTGTACCAAACACATTCCCCAAATAAAGATACATGTAAAATTGTCTGTACCAAACACATTCCCCAAATAAAGATACATTGTAGATACATGTAAAATTGTCTGTACCAAACACATTCCCCAAATAAAGATACATGTAAAATTGTCTGTACCAAACACATTCCCCAAATAAAGATACATTTAAAATTGTCTGTACCAAACACATTCCCCAAATAAAGATACATGTAAAATTGTCTGTACCAAACACATTCCCCAAATAAAGATACATGTAAAATTGTCTGTACCAAACACATTCCCCAAATAAAGATACATGTAAAATTGTCTGTACCAAACACATTCCCCAAATAAAGATACATTGTAGATACATATAAAATTGTCTGTACCAAACACATTCCCCAAATAAAGATACATGTAAAATTGTCTGCACTAAACACATTCCCCAAATAAAGATACATGTAAAATTGTCTGTACCAAACACATTCCCCAAATAAAGATACATGTAAAAGACCAAACACAGATACCAAACACACAAATAAAGATAAAATTGTCTGTACCAAACACATTCCCCAAATAAAGATACATGTAAAATTGTCTGTACCAAACACATTCCCCAAATAAAGATACATGTAAAATTGTCTGTACCAAACACATTCCCCAAATAAAGATACATGTAAAATTGTCTGTACCAAACACATTCCCCAAATAAAGATACATGTAAAATTGTCTGTACCAAACACATTCCCCAAATAAAGATACATGTAAAATTGTCTGTACCAAACACATTCCCCAAATAAAGATACATGTAAAATTGTCTGTACCAAACACATTCCCCAAATAAAGATACATGTAAAATTGTCTGTACCAAACACATTCCCCAAATAAAATAAAGATACATGTAAAATTGTCTGTACCAAACACATTCCCCAAATAAAGAAATAAAGATACCAAACACACATGTAAAATTGTCTGTACCAAACACATTCCCCAAATAAAGATACATGTAAAATTGTCTGTACCAAACACATTCCCCAAATAAAGATACATGTAAAATTGTCTGTACCAAACACATTCCCCAAATAAAGATACATGTAAAATTGTCTGTACCAAACACATTCCCCAAATAAAGATACATGTAAAATTGTCTGTACCAAACACATTCCCCAAATAAAGATACATTGTATAAACACATATAAAATTGTCTGTACTAAACACATTCCCCAAATCCCAAATTGTAAAGATACATGTAAAATTGTCTGTACCAAACACATTCCCCAAATAAAATAAAGATACATGTAAAATTGTCTGTACCAAACACATTCCCCAAATAAAGATACATGTAAAATTGTCTGCACTAAACACATTCCCCAAATAAAGATACATGTAAAATTGTCTGTACCAAACACATTCCCCAAATAAAGATACATTGTAGATACATGTAAAATTGTCTGTACCAAACACATTCCCCAAATAAAGATACATGTAAAATTGTCTGTACCAAACACATTCCCCAAATAAAGATACATGTAAAATTGTCTGTACCAAACACATTCCCCAAATAAAGATTGTAAAATTGTCTGTACCAAACACATTCCCCAAATTCCTCACACATAAAGATACATGTAAAAAATTGTCTGTACCAAACACATTCCCCAAATAAAAGATACTGAATGTTTTTAAATGACTTGTTTTAAAGGATCGATGAGCTTATGCCACACCATGGCTGTCCGTTATTGATCCATCTGTCTGCTAGTCATTTTTTTCTATGCATAGCAACTAGTCATGAATGACTACATTGATTTTTACCAAATTTGGTCAGAAGTTTTGTTAATTTTGGAAAGTAGGAAAAAAATTGTATAAATGGTAGGTCAGTGCCCCCAGGGGATGTTATATAAAATCCTACTCCTTCTGAAGGAATTACAGAATTTTGCCAAATCTAAAGCATTCTTGAGTGAAAGGGAATCAATTTTGTATAAACCATGGGTCCCAACCTCCTAGATCAGGAGAGATGGGGTTCACAGATGGGAGATAATTCTTTAAAGTACTTCTCTCGTAGAAATGATTTGATTTTGCCCAAATTTTTCTGAAGCCTTCTTGGGTAAGAGAGAATTAATCTTATAGAAATGATGGATCTCAGCCCTCTGGGGCAGGAGGGATGTGGCCCAATAAGGAAATTAGAGCAAATTCTTTAAAATCCTACTTCTTCTGTAGAAATGGTTGGATTTTGCTCAAACTTGGTTTGTAGCATGTTTGGGTAAATGGGAATCAATTTTGTATAAATGGTGGAACTTACCCCATAGGACAGGAGGGAGGGGCTCAATAGGGGAAATGTGTGATATCTTTGAAACCAATGAGATCCCTACCGCATTACCATACATAGCATTGTTAGGCATTAAGAGATGAAAAGTTGGCCCTAGGTGTGCCCCACCACTAACTTCTGACCCCAACACATTTATGATGTCTGAACTTAATTTATAGGTTATATCTTTAGAAAGTTGAAATTCCCACCCCTAACCGTTTATACATGTACATAGCATTGCTTGGCATCAAGAGATAAACACAATGACTAAGTTTTGACTCTTGGGTGTGGCACATCTCAAAGGACATTATTTCTTTATCATATATTTGACATAGTTGAGATACCAATCTGATAACTGTAAAAACTCTTTCTGGACATTATTAGTCATGATATGAAAATTTGTTGTAACTTGGTAACATGCTCATCATCTCTACTTCCAAACTTCACTCTGCCTAGCCATGAACATGTGATAACAAAATCTGCAAATATCTTGTTCTAACCTGGCTTGGACACTTATAAACCAGACTAGTAATGTTCTAAAGTGTTGTACATGGTCTTCTACAATGTTGTACACGTCTTCTACAATGTTGTACATGGTCTTCTACAATGTTTTACACGTCTTCTACAATGTTGTACACATCATCTACAATGTTGTACACGTCTTCTACAATGTTGTACACATCATCTACAATGTTGTACACGTCTTCTACAATGTTGTACACATCATCTACAATGTTGTACATGTCTTTTATTGTGTTGTACATGGTCTTCTACAATGTTTTACACGTCTTCTACATGTCTTTTATTGTGTTGTACATGGTCTTCTACAATGTTTTACACGTCTTCTACAATGTTGTACATGGTCTTCTACAATGTTGTACACGTCTTCTACAATGTTGTACATGGTCTTCTACAATGTTGTACACATCATCTACAATGTTGTACACGTCTTCTACAATGTTGTACACATCATCTACAATGTTGTACATGTCTTCTACAATGTTGTACACGTCTTCTACAATGTTGTACACATCATCTACAATGTTGTACACGTCTTCTACAATGTTGTACACGTCTTTTATTGTGTTGTACATGGTCTTCTACAATGTTGTACACGTCTTCTACAATGTTGTACAAAGTCTTCTACAATGTTGTACATGTCTTTTATTGTGTTGTACACGTCTTCTACAATGTTGTACACGTCTTTTATTGTGTTGTACATGGTCTTCTACAATGTTTTACACGTCTTCTACAATGTTGTACACATCATCTACAATGTTGTACACGTCTTCTACAATGTTGTACACGTCTTTTATTGTGTTGTACATGGTCTTCTACAATGTTGTACACGTCTTCTACAATGTTGTACACATCATCTACAATGTTGTACACGTCTTCTACAATGTTGAACACGTCTTTTATTGTGTTTTACATGGTCTTCTACAATGTTGTACACGTCTTCTACAATGTTGTACAAAGTCTTCTACAATGTTGTACATGTCTTTTATTGTGTTGTACATGGTCTTCTACAATGTTTTACACGTCTTCTACAATGTTGTACACATCATCTACAATGTTGTACACGTCTTCTACAATGTTGTACACGTCTTTTATTGTGTTGTACATGGTCTTCTACAATGTTGTACACGTCTTCTACAATGTTGTACAAAGTCTTCTACAATGTTGTACATGTCTTTTATTGTGTTGTACATGGTCTTCTACAATGTTGTACACGTCTTCTACAATGTTTACACGTCTTCTACAATGTTGTACACGTCTTCTACAGTGTTGTACATGGTCTTCTACAATGTTGTACATGGTCTTCTACAATGTTGTACACGTCTTCTACAATGTTGTACATGTCTTTTATTGTGTTGTACATGGTCTTCTACAATGTTGTACACGTCTTCTACAATGTTGTACATGGTCTTCTACAATGTTGTACACGTCTTCTACAATGTTGTACATGTCTTTTATTGTGTTGTACATGGTCTTCTACAATGTTGTACATGTCTTCTACAATGTTGTACACGTCTTCTACAATGTTGTACATGTCTTTTATTGTGTTGTACATGGTCTTCTACAATGTTGTACATGTCTTTTATTGTGTTGTACATGGTCTTCTACAATGTTGTACACGTCTTCTACAATGTTATACATGTCTTTTATTGTGTTGTACATGGTCTTCTACAATGTTGTACACGTCTTCTACAATGTTGTACACGTCTTCTACAATGTTGTACATGTCTTATATTGTGTTATACATGGTCTTCTACAATGTTTTACACGTCTTCTACAATGTTGTACATGGTCTTCTACAATGTTGTACATGGTCTTCTACAGTGTTGTACATGTCTTCTACAATGTTGTACATGGTCTTCTACAATGTTGTACATGGTCTTCTACAGTGTTGTACATGTCTTCTACAATGTTGTACATGGTCTTCTACAGTGTTGTCCATGGTCTTCTAAAATGTTGTACATGTCTTTTATAGTGTTGTACATGGTCTTCTACAATGTTGTACATGTCTTTTATAGTGTTGTACATGGTCTTCTACAATGTTGTACATGGTCGTACATAGTCTTCTACAATGTTGTACATGGTGTTCTACAATGTTATACATGGTCTTCTACAATGTTGTACATGGTCTTCTTCAATGTTGTACATGGTCTTCTACAATGTTGTACGTGGTCTTCTACAGTGTTGTACATGGTCTTCTACAATGATGGTCTTCTACAGTGTTGTACATGGTCGTACATGGTCTTCTACAATGTTGTACATGGTGTTCTACAATGTTATACATGGTCTTCTACAATGTTGTACATGGTCTTCTACAATGTTGTACATGGTCTTCTTCAATGTTGTACATGGTCTTCTACAATGTTGTACATGGTCTTCTACAATGTTGTACACGTCTTCTACAATGTTGTACATGGTCTTCTACAATGTTGTACATGGTCTTCTACAATGTTGTACATGTCTTTTATAGTGTTGTACATGGTCTTCTTCAATGTTGTACATGGTCTTTTACAGTGTTGTACATGGTCTTCTACAATGATGGTCTTCTACAGTGTTGTCCATGGTCTTTTACAATGTTGTCCATGGTCTTCTACAGTGTTGTACATGGTCTTCCACAGTGTTGTACATGGTCTTCTACAATGTTGTACATGGTCTTCTACAATGTTGTACATGTCTTTTATAGTGTTGTACATGGTCTTCTACAGTGTTGTAAATGGTCTTCTACAATGTTGTACATGGTCTTCTACAGTGTTGTACATGGTCTTCTACAGTGTTGTACATGATCTTTTCACACTCAATCCAAAAAATTTACTCACTTTTTATATGTCAGTCAAGGGATGGGTCATAGTATGTAATGTGAGTTGGCGGGTGGGTGGATCAGTGAAGGGGCACATGTTGTCTGCTGGTTAACTTTAGTAAATTTCAACGGATCAGCTTCAAACTTTACAGGGAGGTTCATTACCATGATAACTTGAACAAGTTTTATCACCGTATTGTTGAACCATAATCTGTTTATTAGCTCACCTGTTCCTAGGATAAAGCCTGACAAAATTTTTTAAAAGAAATTACTTTTGACTTATATTCATGGTCAGAGGGGTCAAATTTGTTAAAACATTCAAACAACTTCTCATGAGCTAAAAGGTCTAGAGGCATGATAATTGTTATGTTTCTAGGATGAAGCCTGACAAAGTTTGCAAAAAGAAATGAATTCCTTAACTTAGGGATCTGGGAAGAAAGGCTACAAAATTTGTTCCTCTTGAACTGCTATCAACGTCACAGGGGTCAACTGTGTTGAAATGTGTAATTAATTTCTTTTCAATAACGAAATGGCCATGGGTCTTGATATTGGGCCTGTAGCATGCTTTTTAACTGTCAATATGTCCAGAGTAATGACACTTGTGTAGTACATGTATAAAGACTATGATTTCAGGTTTGCACAAAATGTGAACAAGCCAATGTCTTCTATGTAAGCTGTAGTGTAATTGAGAAATTTATTTCAGGCCTATTTGGTCTCTTTTTTTATATTGGTCTTTTATAGTCAGATGACCCTTAAGGCCTGTGGGACTCTTGTTCAATTATCAAAACAATGTCGGCTCAATATCTTGATTAGTTTTCAATGTGTCAACTTCATAGGAAGATTCATTACCATTTTAGACCTGTCATTGACAAGGCATTTACCTGTTATTAACTAGTTATTTAACTTTTTACCTCATATGTATGTTGTTTACCTGTTATTTATCAATTATTTACATTTTGCCAAAGGGCCAAGTGAGCTTATGCAGAACGTAGCGTCCGTCGTCTGGCAACCCGCGTCAATTTTTTCTTTAAACAACTTTTTCTCAATAAGCAAGATATCAAATGTTTTGATATTTGGCTGGTATGTTCCTAAAATGAAGCCTGACTAAGTTTTCGAAAATAAATGACCTTGACTTATATTGAAGGTTATAGGGTCCAGATTTGTTAAAACATTTAAACAAATTATTCTCATGAACTAAAATGCCTCGAGGCATATTTGGCTGGTACGTTCCTATGATGAACCCTGACAAAGTTTGCTAAAATAATTTACTTTGACATATATGCAAGGTCATAGGGGTCAAATTTGTTAAAACATTTAAATGAGTTCTTCTCAAGAACAAAAAGACCATGAGGCATGAACTTTGGCTGGTATGTTCCCTGAACAAAGTGCAAAAACATTTGCAAATTAAATGGCCTTGACTTATATTCAAGGTCACAGGGGTCAAATTTGTCAAAAGATTTAAACAACTTCCTCATATGAACGAAAAGATTGAGAGGCATGATATTTGGTTATATATATATATATATATATATATATATATATATATATGCCAGGTGAGCGCTGCAGGTCCATTGGGCCTCATATTTACTTTTAATTTACCACTGGTTTAACTGTTGTTGATTTTTCATTTACAAGGCATTAACCTGTTATTAACGAGTCGTTTACCTGTTGTTTACCTGTATAGGACACACTGCGAGAGGATTGTGATGACTCAGCTTTGTGCCTCACTAACTGCTGTGTCAGTCCAATCATTGCCCCAGTCTACTTCGTCATCTTTGTGCTCATGGCCCAGTTTGTCCTCGTGAACGTTGTTGTTGCAGTGCTGATGAAACATTTAGAGGTAACATTGCACTTCACAACAGATATGTCAATAGTTTGTGTTGAGGTTAGAACCAACAATGCTGTGCTTACACAAAGTCTCTTTTTTGATATTTTTTTCCGCATGTTTCTTTTTCCAAGACTGATTGTAGAGATATTTGAATCTTTTAGCACATATTGCTGACTAGATACCAAGTTTTAGTATTTTACATACAGCCTCACAAAATCAGTCATCATGCTGCACATTAGCATTACATGTCACTTTGATGTGGTTCATGTATGAATATTTTATACTCTTACATCAACATTAGGAAGATTTTTGTTAATGTTATTTATTCTTAGGTCAGAATAAGGAAACTTTCTATGAATGTTGCATATTATGATGTCTGGTGTTAGTACTTTATCATGTAAACTTGACTAATACTCTATATAATACTTTATGATATATCCTTGACCAGTTCTCTATATAATACTTTATGATATATCCTTGACCAGTTCTCTATATAATACTTTATGATATAATCTTGACCAGTTCTCTATATAATACTTTATGATATATCCTTGACCAGTTCTCTATATAATACTTAATGATATAATCTTGACCAGTTCTCTATATAATACTTTATGATATATCCTTGACCAGTTCTCTATATAATACTTTATGATATGATCTTGACCAGTTCTCTATATAATACTTTATGATATATCCTTGACCAGTTCTCTATATAATACTTTATGATATATCCTTGACCAGTTCTCTATATAATACTTTATGATATGATCTTGACCAGTTCTCTATATAATACTTTATGATATATCCTTGACCAGTTCTCTATATAATACTTTATGATATATCCTTGACCAGTTCTCTATATAATACTTTATGATATAACCTTCACCAGTTCTCTATATAATACTTTATGATATATCCTTGACCAGTTCTCTATATAATACTTTATGATATATCCTTGACCAGTTCTCTATATAATACTTTATGATATAACCTTCACCAGTTCTCTATATAATACTTTATGATATAATCTTGACCAGTTCTCTATATAATACTTTATGATATAACCTTGACCAGTTCTCTATATAATACTTTATGATATATCCTTGACCAGTTCTCTATATAATACTTTATGATATAACCTTCACCAGTTCTCTATATAATACTTTATGATATAACCTTCACCAGTTCTCTATATAATACTTTATGATATAATCTTGACCAGTTCTCTATATAATACTTTATGATATAACCTTGACCAGTTCTCTATTTAATACTTTATGATATAATCTTGACCAGTTCTCTATATAATACTTTATGATATAATCTTGACCAGTTCTCTATATAATACTTTATGATATAATCTTGACCAGTTCTCTATATAATACTTTATGATATAACCTTGACCAGTTTTCTATATAATACTTTATGATATAATCTTGACCAGTTCTCTATATAATACTTTAAGACGTAAACCAGTTCTCTGGTGTTAAGGTAGTCCATCACATGTGTAATCTATATAATAGCTCAGAATGTAATAACAAGTACTATGGTGTTAATAGTTTAATATGAAAACTTAATCAGTACACTGGCTGTCTAAAATATTTAACTCTCTGCATTGAAACATATAACACCATGAATTGTTATGTATTTTGCTTTCTTTTCTCTTTAAAAATCGAAAATGGTTTACATTTTGAAGACTTCCACATAAAAATGGATATCACAAAAAACCTGATAATTCACTTCTAACTAATATCTGAATTTTCAAATTGATGTGTGATTATTTTGCCCAATCTTTTCTCTACTGACTTTTCTGATGAAACTTATATTATTAAAATAAGTATTTGACAAATTCAATTTGTTTGTGTTACTGTTTATAACAAAATATTGTTCATTTTTATGTGATGCTGAAGTTCAATAATAAGGCACAAATATATTGTTGAATTAGTTAAGTTGAGATCAGAAAGGTTTCACTGAAATGGAGGCAAAGTGATCAATTGGTCATCTATTGTGTTTGTTTATTGATTGTTTAACAACTGATATAACTAAGTGTTGTTATCACTAAAGCATTGTATCCTCACTTCATCTCACTAATAAACAATTGTACTATATAGATGTAAGTATTCCACACAGTGTCTCACTAAGACGAGTATAGAGGTAAAGTATTCCACATTGTGTCTCACTAAGACCAGTATATTCCACACTGTGTCTCACTAAGACCAGTATAGAGGTATATTATTCCACACTGTGTCTCACTAAGACCCGTATGGAGGTACAGTACTTCACACTGTGTCTCACTAAGACCAGTTTATTCCACACTGTGTCTCGCTAAGACCCGTATAGAGTTAAAGTATTCAACACTGTGTCTCACTAAGACCAGTATATTCCACACTGTGTCTCACTAAGACCAGTATATTCCACACAGTGTCCCACTAAGACCCGTATGGAGGTACAGTACTTCACACTGTGTCTCACTAAGACCATTATAGATGTAAGTATTCCACACTGTGTCTCACTAAGACCAGTTTATTCCACACTGTGTCTCGCTAAGACCCGTATAGAGGTAAAGTATTCAACACTGTGTCTCACTAAGACCAGTATATTCCACACTCTGTCTCACTAAGACCAGTATATTCCACACAGTGTCTCACTAAGACCAGTATAGAGGTATATTATTCCACAGAGTGTCTCACTAAGATCAGTATAGAGGTAAAATATTCCACACTGTGTCTCACTAAGACCAGTATAGAGGTAAAGTATTCAACACTGTGTCTCACTAAGACCAGTATACAGGTATATTATTCCACACTGTGTCTCACTAAGACCAGTATAGAGGTAAAGTATTCCACATTGTGTCTCACTAAGACCAGTATATTCCACACAGTGTCTCACTAAGACCAGTATAGAGGTAAAGTATTCCACACTGTGTCTCACTAAGACCCGTATGGAGGTACAGTACTTCACACTGTGTCTCACTAAGACCATTATAGATGTAAGTATTCCACACTGTGTCTCACTAAGACCAGTTTATTCCACACTGTGTCTCGCTAAGACCCGTATAGAGTTAAAGTATTCAACACTGTGTCTCACTAAGACCAGTATATTCCACACAGTGTCTCACTAAGACCCGTATGGAGGTACAGTACTTCACACTGTGTCTCACTAAGACCATTATAGATGTAAGTATTCCACACTGTGTCTCACTAAGACCAGTATATTCCACACAGTGTCTCACTAAGACCCGTATGGAGGTACAGTACTTCACACTGTGTCTCACTAAGACCATTATAGATGTAAGTATTCCACACTGTGTCTCACTAAGACCAGTTTATTCCACACTGTGTCTCGCTAAGACCCGTATAGAGGTAAAGTATTCAACACTGTGTCTCACTAAGACCAGTATATTCCACACTCTGTCTCACTAAGACCAGTATATTCCACACAGTGTCTCACTAAGACCAGTATAGAGGTATATTATTCCACAGAGTGTCTCACTAAGATCAGTATAGAGGTAAAATATTCCACACTGTGTCTCACTAAGACCAGTATAGAGGTAAAGTATTCAACACTGTGTCTCACTAAGACCAGTATACAGGTATATTATTCCACACTGTGTCTCACTAAGACCAGTATAGAGGTAAAGTACTTCATACTGTGTCTCACTAAGACCAGTATAGAGGTAAAGTATTCCACATTGTGTCTCACTAAGACCAGTATATTCCACACAGTGTCTCACTAAGACCAGTATAGAGGTAAAGTATTCCACACTGTGTCTCACTAAGACGAGTATAGAGGTAAAGTATTCCACACTGTGTCTCACTAAGACCAGTATACAGGTATATTATTCCACACTGTGTCTCACTAAGACCAGTATAGAGGTAAAGTACTTCATACTGTGTCTCACTAAGACCAGTATAGAGGTAAAGTATTCCACATTGTGTCTCACTAAGACCAGTATATTCCACACAGTGTCTCACTAAGACCAGTATAGAGGTAAAGTATTCCACACTGTGTCTCACTAAGACGAGTATAGAGGTAAAGTATTCCACACTGTGTCTCACTAAGACCAGTATATTCCACACAGTGTCTCACTAAGACGAGTATAGAGGTAAAGTATTCCACATTGTGTCTCACTAAGACCAGTATATTCCACACAGTGTCTCACTAAGACCAGTATAGAGGTAAAGTATTCCACACTGTGTCTCACTAAGACGAGTATAGAGGTAAAGTATTCCACATTGTGTCTCACTAAGACCAGTATATTCCACACAGTGTCTCACTAAGACCAGTATAGAGGTAAAGTATTCCACACTGTGTCTCACTAAGACCCGTATGGAGGTACAGTACTTCACACTGTGTCTCACTAAGACCATTATAGATGTAAGTATTCCACACTGTGTCTCACTAAGACCAGTATATTCCACACTGTGTCTCACTAAGACCAGTATATTCCACACAGTGTCTCACTAAGACCCGTATGGAGGTATATTATTCCACACTGTGTCTCACGAAGACCCGTATGGAGGTACAGTACTTCACACTGTGTCTCACTAAGACCAGTTTATTCCACACTGTGTCTCGCTAAGACCCGTATAGAGGCAAAGTATTCAACACTGTGTCTCACTAAGACCAGTATATTCCACACTGTGTCTCACTAAGACCAGTATATTCCACACAGTGTCTCACTAAGACCCGTATGGAGGTACAGTACTTCACACTGTGTCTCACTAAGACCATTATAGATGTAAGTATTCCACACTGTGTCTCACTAAGACCAGTTTATTCCACACTGTGTCTCACTAAGACCAGTTTATTCCACACTGTGTCTCGCTAAGACCCGTATAGAGGTAAAGTATTCAACACTGTGTCTCACTAAGACCAGTATAGAGGTAAAGTATTCAACACTGTGTCTCACTAAGACCAGTATATTCCACACTGTGTCTCACTAAGATCAGTATACAGGTATATTATTCCACACTGTGTCTCACTAAGACCAGTATAGAGGTAAAGTACTTCATACTGTGTCTCACTAAGACCCGTAAAGAGGTACAGTACTTCACACTGTGTCTCACTAAGACCATTATAGATGTAAAGTACCTCACACTGTGTCTCACTAGGACCAGTATAGAGCTAAAGTATTCCACACTGTGTCTCACTAAGACCAGTATATTCCACACAGTGTCTCGCTAAGACCAGTATATTCCACACTGTGTCTCACTAAGGCCAGTATAGAGGTAAAGTATTCCACACTGTGTCTCACTAAGACCAGTATATTCCACACTGTGTCTCACTAAGGCCAGTATAGAGGTAAAGTATTCCACACTGTCTCACTAAGACCAGTATATTCCACACAGTGTCTCACTAAGACCAGTATAGAGGTAAAGTATTATACACTGTGTCTCACTAAGACCAGTATATTCCACATTGTGCCTCACTAAGACCCATATAGAGGTAAAGTATTCCACACTGTGTCTCACTAAGACCAGTATATTCCACATTGTGCCTCACTAAGACCCATATAGAGGTAAAGTATTCCACACTGTGTCTCAATAAGACCAGTATATTCCACACTGTATCTCACTAAGACCAGTATATTCCACATTGTGTCTCACTAAGATCAGTATAGAGGTAAAGTATTCAACACTGTGTCTCACTAAGACCAGTATAGAGGTAAAGTACTTCATACTGTGTCTCACTAAGACCCGTAAAGAGGTACAGTACTTCACACTGTGTCTCACTAAGACCATTATAGATGTAAAGTACCTCACACTGTGTCTCACTAGGACCAGTATAGAGCTAAAGTATTCCACACTGTGTCTCACTAAGACCAGTATATTCCACACAGTGTCTCGCTAAGACCAGTATATTCCACACTGTGTCTCACTAAGGCCAGTATAGAGGTAAAGTATTCCACACTGTGTCTCACTAAGACCAGTATATTCCACACTGTGTCTCACTAAGGCCAGTATAGAGGTAAAGTATTCCACACTGTCTCACTAAGACCAGTATATTCCACACAGTGTCTCACTAAGACCAGTATAGAGGTAAAGTATTATACACTGTGTCTCACTAAGACCAGTATATTCCACATTGTGCCTCACTAAGACCCATATAGAGGTAAAGTATTCCACACTGTGTCTCACTAAGACCAGTATATTCCACATTGTGCCTCACTAAGACCCATATAGAGGTAAAGTATTCCACACTGTGTCTCAATAAGACCAGTATATTCCACACTGTATCTCACTAAGACCAGTATATTCCACATTGTGTCTCACTAAGATCAGTATAGAGGTAAAGTATTCAACACTGTGTCTCACTAAGACCAGTATAGAGGTAAAGTACTTCACACTGTGTCTCACTAAGACCAGTATATTCCACATTGTGCCTCTATAAGACCTATATAGAGGTAGAGTATTCCACACTGTGTCTAACTAAGACCAGTATATTCCACACAGTGTCTCACTAAGACCAGTATAGAGGTAAAGTACTTCATGCTGTGTCTCACTAAGACCAGTATAGAGGTAAAGCATTCCAAACTGTGTCTCACTACGACCAGTATATTCCACACAGTGTCTCACTAAGATCATTATAGAGGTAAAGTATTCCACATTGTGTCTCACTAAGACCATTATAGAGGTAAAGTATTCCACACTGTGTCTCACTAAGACCAGTATATTCCACATTGTGCCTCACTAAGACCTATATAGAGGTAGAGTATTCCACACTGTGTCTAACTAAGACCAGTATATTCCACACAGTGTCTCACTAAGACCAGTATAGAGGTAAAGTACTTCACACTGTGTCTCACTAAGACCAGTATAGAGGTAAAACATTCCAAACTGTGTCTCACTAAGACCAGTATATTCCACACAGTGTCTCACTAAGATCATTATAGAGGTAAAGTATTCCACATTGTGTCTCACTAAGACCATTATAGAGGTAAAGTATTCCACACTGTGTCTCACTAAGACCAGTATATTCCACATTGTGCCTCACTAAGACCTATATAGAGGTAGAGTATTCCACACTGTGTCTAACTAAGACCAGTATATTCCACACAGTGTCTCACTAAGACCAGTATAGAGGTAAAGTATTCCACATTGTGTCTCACTAAGACCATTATAGAGGTAAAGTATTCCACACTGTGTCTCACTAAGACCAGTATATTCCACACTGTGTCTCACTAAGACCAGTATATTCCACATTGTGTCTCACTAAGACCAGTATAGAGGTAAAGTATTCCACACTGTGTCTCACTAAGACCAGTATATTCCACAATGTCTCTCACAAAGACCAGTATATTCCATATTGTGTCTTACTAAGACCAGTATAGAGGTAAAGTATTCCACACTGTGTCTCACTAAGACCAGTACAGAGGTAAAATACTTCCTACTTGTTCATTTAAACAGTCCCTGTGTTTAGTTCAATCCCTGATTTGATGATGGAATTTTCAGGTGATAAATCTTAACACTTTGATTACTTTTTTCATTGAAAGAAATAGTCCAGTAAATTACTATATATATTAAATCTCAGTACCTTCTACATGTTTTGCTCAAATACAAGATTTTATTTGTCCTTCGGAACAGCAAAGGTGAAGGACATTTGGTAATAAGTGTTTGGTGGATTAGCAGTGTATCTGGTATTATACTATTCACTGCTTAATTAACAGGAAACTTACAAATACAAAGAATTGGACGATGAGGTAGAAGAAGAGCTACGACATGAAATGGATGATAAAAATAAAACTGAAATATTTGAACTGAAATATCAGGTGAGCTGTGAGGCCCTTTCTATCTGTTTTGAAGCCTCTTTGTAGAAAAATTGATGTTGTTTTAGTGATTGTTTCCTGTCAACAACTTATAGGGAAGAAGGACTCCCATTTAATCTTTCTAAAATAGAAAGTATTTTAAGGTGAGAACAGGGCAGTACTCATATTGCCCCACTAATCTATTTATATCTTTATGTTTATTTATATTATGTATTTATTTATAGCTGTATATCCATTATCTATTTAAAGACATATATGCATGTATCATAATGCTTCACATAATCAGCTGTTTCACTGCACTATTTTGCACAAGACTCTTAAACCATGTGTTTTTTGACATTTATTCTTTTCTTCAGAAAAGCTAGCTAGAAACAATTCTACTGGATTGTGCTTTCCTTTTAACCTTTTTGTCTAATTTCTCCTTATCAAATTTATTTGTGTATTTTGATTTCAGAAATTATATGGATGCCTTCATTTGTTTTGGCATGTAATGACTCATTGTAGTCTGTTACCATGTTATGCAATACCTGCTTTGGGCATGGGACCCTTTTTTACCCTCCTTGTCCAAGCTTCTAATCCTTTGGTGCCCTACGTATGTGTGATTCATGTCGGTTTGTTTATGCCAACCTCCTTGTGGTTTGCAATTCTTGTGCCACACTTCCCTGTGACTGTGACCATTAATGCCTGTTTCTGGTCTGTGGCATTTTTGTGCCACACCTTTTGTGTCATTCCATCTTGTGGCATGTTACTTTGTTTTGAAACACCTCATGGCCTGTAGTTCTTTTGTGCCACAGTTGTTGCTTGTGGCCTTTGAACCTTTGTACCAAAGTTTGTGACATATCATAGTATGCCACACCTGTCTGTGGTGTTTGAGTGTCATACCTCCTTGTGACCTTTTACATGTTATGCTACACAAGTTTTGTGGTCTATGACACTTAAGTGCCACACCTTCCCGTAGTCTTTGATGCTCTGTGAAAGATCATTTGGGGCATGTGACGTTATCATGCCACACCTTATTGTGGCATGTAAACTTGTTATGCCACACCTGTAGCAAGGACACTTTCTGTGGACTTATAGACATGGTAGGTACTTTGGTTCTCCTTCCTGTCATCCTGGCCTGTTTTCTTACTTCCTTTTTAACAGTGAGGCTACACATGGTTAGTACTTGTGGGTATTTCTCTCTATCAGTTATTTTTTCTACTTCCTGTTTAACAGTGAGGCTACACATGGTTAGTACTGGTGGGTATTTCTCTCTATCAATTATTTTATCTACTTCCTGTTTAACAGTGAGGCTACACATGGTTAGTACTTGATGGTATTTCTCTCTATCAGTTATTTTTTCTACTTTCTGTTTAACAGTGAGGCTACACATGGTTAGTACTGGTGGGTATTTCTCTCTATCAATTATTTTTTAGCCCACCATCTAATAGATGGTTGATTATTCAAATCGCCCTGCGTCCGTGGTCCGTCGTCCGTCCGTCCGTCCGTAAACAATTCTTGCTACCACTATTTCTGGAAAAGTACTGGATGGATCTTTCTCAAATTTCATATGCAGGTTCCCCTTGGTCCCTAGTTGTGCATTGTACCTTTCCTGGACTGATTCGAATTCAAGATGGCCGACAGGTGGCCATCTTGGATTTTGGAAGTAAAAGTTTGTTACCGCTATTTCTGAGAAAGTACTGGATGGATCTTCCTCAAATTTCATATGCAGTTTCCCCTTGGTCCCTAGTTGTGCATTGTACCTTTTCTGGACTGATTCGAATTCAAGATGGCCGACAGGTGGCCATCTTGGATTTTGGATGTAAAAGTTTGTTACTGCTATTTCTTGAAAAACACTGGATGAATCTTTCTCAAATTCCATATGAAGTTTCCCCTTGGTCCCTAGTTGTGCATTGTACCTTTTCTGGACTGATTCGAATTCAAGATGGCCGACAGGCAGCCATCTTGGATTTTGAAAGTAAAAGATTTTTACTGCTATTTCTTGGAAAGTACTGGATGGACCTTTCTCAAATTTCATATGCAGTTTCCCCTTGGTCCCTAGTTGTGCATTGTACCTTTTTTGGACTGATTCGAATTCAAGATGGCAGACAGGTGGCCATCTTGGATTTTGAATGTAAAAGTTTGTTACTGCTATTTCTTGGAAAGCACTGGATGGATCTTTCTCAAATTTCATATGCAGGTTCCCTTTAGTTCCAAGTTGTGCATTATACCTTTTTGGACTGATCCGAAATCAAGATGGCTGACAGGCAGCCATCTTGGAGTTTGAGAGTAAAATCTTGTTACTGCTATATCTTAGGAAGTACTGGATGGATCCTTCTGATATTTCATAGATATTGGTTTCCCTTGGTCCCTAGTTGTGCATTGTACCTTTTTTGGACTGATTTGAAATCAAGGTGGCCCACAGGCAGCCATCTTGGATGTCGACAGTAATACAGCACAAGCACATTGTCCATTATCCACCTGTAACTGACTGCTATCTAATAATACTTTGGGATCTTTTTCAAATGATATTTGCTAATAGGTGCTCAATAAAAATATCTTGTGCCATCATTGAGTACATTCAATGAAGACCAGTTCATGAACATTTACAACACCTGTAACAAACAAACAAAAATAAACAAATCTTCAGGAACTGAAAACAGATCCTCAAATGGTGGGCGCCAAGATCCCACTGGGATCTCTTGTTTCTACTTCCTGTTTAACAGTGAGGCTACACATGGTTAGTACTTGTGGGTATTTCTCTCTGTCAATTATTTTTTCTACTTCCTGTTTAACAGTGAGGCTACACATGGTTAGTACTTGTGGGTATTTCTCTCTGTCAATTATTTTTTCTACTTCCTGTTTAACAGTGAGGCCACACATGGTTAACTGTTTGTGGATTTTACTCTCTGTCAATTATTTTTTCTTACTTCCTGTTTAACACTGAGACTACACATTGTTAACTATTTGTGGGTATTTCTCTCTATCAATTGTTTTTTCTACTTCCTGTTTAACAATGAGGCCACACATGGTTAGTACTTTTGGTATTTCTCTCTGTCAATTATTTTTCTTACTTCCTGTTTAACAGAGAGGCTACACATGGTTAGTACTTGTGGGTATTTCTCTCTGTCATGGTCAGGACTATCAATTGTGTCAATTTGTTTACATTTACTGCAGTGGTATTCTCTTCCAATATTGCCTCATGAAATGTTTTTGTGAGAAAATGCAAACCAAATTTGTGTATTTAACTATCACCATGATTTAGCTTATCCTTGTTTGTATACTGACTGTTCAAATTGAAGCCATTATTTCAACATCACATCAATGATCATAACTTGATCATTTAACGTGATGTTTATATTTAAGAAAGAAAGTAGCTATGGAAGGAAAAAGAATGTTTCACAAACTACTTTTGATTTATATCACAATAAATACTCCTGATGATAAGATAATAGTTTTTATGTTAATGACTGTAGCAACTTTAAAACAACTGATCTGAGTACATCTTGACTTAACTTGATGATCTGACCAAGCAGGTCATTGTACATGATTTACTTGCTGAAATATATGCTATTTAATGTCCATCTTACATCTAGTGATTTTCAGAATTTAATTCCTAGATCAATCAGGGCTTGGAGAATTAATTTTCTAGATCAATCATGGCTTGGAGAATTAATTTTCTAGATCAATCAGGGCTTGGAGAATTAATTTTCTAGATCAATTATGGCCTGGAGAATTAATTTTCTAGATCAATCATGGCCTGGAGAATTAATTTTCTAGATCAATCAGGGCTTGGAGAATTAATTTTCTAGATCAATCAGGGCTTGGATAATTAATTTTCTAGATCAATCATGGCTTGGAGAATTAATTTCCTAGATCAATCATGGCTTGGAGAATTAATTTTCTAGATCAATCAGGGCTTGGAGAATTAATTTTCTAGATCAATCATGGCTTGGAGAATTAATTTTCTAGATCAATCAGGGCTTGGATAATTAATTTTCTAGATCAATCAGGGCTTGGATATATATATTGTATAACACACAGTCCTGTGAAAGGTATGTCTTCTCCTCCACAATAAGCTAATGCAATATCTGTTAAGTGAACTCTCCGAGAGTGTCTGGGCAGATTCAAATTCATTTCCTTAATATTTCAGAAAACAGAAAAATGTTATTTAGATTTAGTGTTTAAATATTATAATGCTTTGACAGCTCAGGCATTTTTGCCTGAAATAATTAAAAAATGTTTTCAAAGTGATTTTGAATATTATTCTTATCTGTCATAAATGGGCAAGAGAAACAAAGTATAAATGAAAACAGGCATGTATAGTTTGATCAAGTTGTTCATGAACGAATTGATGAGGAACAGAATAGTTATCAAACAAGAGTTGTGAAATCTAATGTAATACTCTAAATTTTAACACACAGGAATCTCATCGCATGGTGGATGAAGACGAGCTGTTAGATGAAGAGGATGACAATGAAGAAGAAAAAGAAGAATCAACTGGTAGAGATGTCAATGTTAAAGAGGAAGAGATGGAGGTATGTGTATCAGAATGGCTTTACAGTCATCCCATACTGGACGTTTGATCGTAAATACTAAAGATACAATGAGTTTGGAGTCTTGGTTTCTGTAAAGTACATCATTGGAAGGTAGTTTGGGATGCAGGGGTTATGCATGAAATTTAAGTGAAACATGTAATTCATGGACATCAAATAAATGTTTTCAAGGGAACAGAGGCGAGATCACTTGTTTACAAACTCTCAGCTACATTTTTCTTTGAAGATTTCCCTCGACCTATAAGCCATGGTTTTTTCCTTGTGAGTCGGACGTGCAGCTTAAGTGCCGGCGTGGCTTATAGGTGGACAAAACTAAAACACAGAATACGGAAAAAATGTAATTTCAGTAAAAGATATCATAAATTGGCTTTTACAAGTAGTACCAAATGTTTGTGACTGAAACCAATTGTGTAAAACCAATTGAATACTAAATGATTTGAAGATTGCAATCGAATAACATTCCCATGGATTTTATTTATCATACCTGTTGATATGCACAGTAATATATTCTTGATAAAATATGCTCCAAATTTGGTCAGAAGTATTCTTGGGTGAATAGGAACAAGGTTTGTGGAAAGAATAACGATTTAAAATCTTACACCTCCTATGAGAATAAATGGATATTCCAAATTGGGTCTGAAACATTCTTGGATGAAGAAGACTAAGTTCTGTATAAATGATGCATCCCAGCCTACAAGGTAGGAAGAGAGGGGCCCAATTGGGGAAATGTAAGTTCAAAAAAGTCATTCAATACAAGGATATAGTCTATGGTTGGTCAGAAGCAATTTTTATGAATAGTTAATCTGACCTCTTTTTGACCACAAGGGCAAGACCCAGTGTGATAATTATATCAGAAATTGTTTGTCAAATTTGGAATTCTATATTAAATGGCTGAAAAGCTAAATTAGCTATGTGAGTGATGTAGGCCTCTTGTTGTTCACTGGGTTGATTGATAGCCATGATTTCTTTGTCCCCAGATGATGTTGAAGATTAAAACACCTGTCCCATCATATGTTCGTAAGTTAAAGACACCTATCTGTAAACAAGCTTCTCTCCCACCCAGCTTTACCTTCCGACCACCGAGCAATGAACCACCAAATGAAAACGAACCTGTGAATGGTAAGTTAACAGATAACTGTACTATGTAAATGGTATATTCAGCCATATACAGTACCATTGAGGCAATTTGGCTCTCATACCCTGTTGGAATGTTGAGCATGCAGAAGGGGTTAAAATCTCCCTTCAACTTCGCCTGAGCGATGTCGCAGGAACATTACTCCCGCAGTGATGGGGATTATAGACAGCCTTCCTTTGTACCTGGACAATGTCCCTCAGCGATGGTGAGCAATGAGAATTAGCCACTAGGCAAAGTGGTGGGAAAATCGCTCCTTTTGCAATGACGAGCTATGGATAATTTTTTTGCAACCTTTTGTTTTATCTAGTTTAGAAACATCAGCAATGTTGTATGTACTTTACTTCAGAAATATTCATATGTCTAACACACATTCTCACATATGTCTAACACACATTCCCACATATATCTAACACACATTCCCACATATATCTAACACACATTCTCACATATGTCTAACACACATTCTCACATATGTCTAACACACATTCCCACATATATCTAAACACATTCCCACATATATCTAACACACATTCCTTTTTGACAATTTTTAAGTAATTCATTAGATGTTTTCACCTTAATAAAAAAAAATGTAAAGATATAAAAAGGGATGAACCCTTCGACCTTCCTTCATTTTCTTGTAGAAACATTTTATTAGGCCTGTACTTACCTCGAGTAGCCACATAATTTGATGTACTGAAAATGTTCACTTATCTATGTGTCTGTGTGAGTAACACCTGTGATTTTATTTTGGTTGGAAGTGTTCATCATGAGTCTACAAGGTGTATCTACTAAAAATGTATTGGTTCCAAATCTCAGGACAGTTTATTATTCGAAACATTGGTATGTATTGGACTGTCAAGAAAGGAAAAACTTTCAAGTGAAATCAAAACTGAAACATCTTTTTCTATGTTCTAACAAAAACTAGATATTTGAATTCTTACGGAACTGATTTTTTAGATTAGATTTTCCAATACCAGTGATGTTTTATTCTATATTTTCAAAAATTAATAATTCATATTCAATATGCAGTTCATTACACATGTAGATAAACAAACATCTTGATAGTTGAAGTGATTACAATGTACTATATCGATACCAAATGTGTAAACTGGAAATATTTTTTACACATCCAATATGGAAGCACCTGCAGCTACATCCATTCTATTGAAATTCAAAATGCAATGGACGTATTAACTTTGGGTCACTAGTGATAATTGAGAAATAATCTTAACCTATAATTACAATGAGACTTATTTAACTTTCACTAAGTAAGGCTTGCATTCTTCCATTTTCCAAACTTCAATACTTTGAAATTGTTACTTTCTGTATTCAATGATCAGGGCTATTCAAAGACCTACAGTGAATTGCAGAATATTTAATTTTCATAAAAACATTGCTTGTTTTGAATTCTAATTAAAGTCATACCGTTAGTTAGCAGCCTTCTTGAATACCCTGATCAGATACAGAACTGTAATTGAGAACAGCTTTACAATCAGGGAAAGTATGAATGATTTTTTGGTTGATTTCACACATTTTGTATGTTGGTTACAGTTTCACAGGACTTAACAGAAACTTAACAGAAGATCGGTTTAGTACTGAGTTGGTACGCATTTGACTTGTAATGTACGTTGTACATGTACAGCAAGGAAACATTGTAACCTTGTAGCAGTTAACGTTACTGTTAAAATTAATACCTGTAGCTTGTCATTGCCGCGATGTCCCGGTGGACTGATATAGGCATGTCTGAACCATATACAGTAACTTAATCCCTTTTGCCTGTCTTCCCCACAATGTCGTTGCTACCAATTTATCTCGTGAACCTGTCGCGATTCCGCTGCGACAGGTAAGTAAATCGATTTCCCTCCCGCAGGGTTTGAGAGCAAAATCACCTCAACTGGTACTGTGGTACATAAAAAGGTATTGTATAACTGCAGCACATATTATATCATAAAAAATGATGTGTAGGAATCCTGGTTACAGGATAGATATTTCTATACATTATACAATGTTTACCTGTATAATTATCACCTGTCCTGTAATGGTGTGTAGCAATCCTGGTTACAGGATAGATATTTCTACACATTATACAATGTTTACCTGTATAATTATCACCTGTCCTGTAATGGTGTGTAGCAATCCTGGTTACAGGATAGATATTTCTACACATTATACAATGTTTACCTGTATAATTATCACCTGTCCTGTAATGGTGTGTAGCAATCCTGGTTACAGGATAGATATTTCTACACATTATACAATGTTTACCTGTATAATTATCACCTGTCCTGTAATGGTGTGTAGCAATCCTGGTTACAGGATAGATATTTCTACACATTATACAATGTTTACCTGTATAATTATCACCAGTCCTGTAATGGTGTGTAGCAATCCTGGTTACAGGATAGATATTTCTACACATTATACAATGTTTACCTGTATAATTATCACCAGTCCTGTAATGGTGTGTAGCAATCCTGGTTACAGGATAGATATTTCTACACATTATACAATGTTTACCTGTATAATTATCACCTGTCCTGTAATGATGTGTAGGAATTGCTGTTACAGGGTCCCTCCTGGTTCCGGTTGATATAACCATATCAAGCTTTGACAGCAGTGTTGAGTTGTCTGGGTCTTCAACTCTGGACGTCCCCCTGACACCATCTACCTACTATTCTGACAACTCCAGCTATATTGAAACAAACCTTGACCATGAGCATTCGCCTCAAGAAGATTCTAGTAATGACATGTGTCATATACCACGTATGAATTATCTAAATCCTAATGCAAAAATGGTTAGTCCACAGCAAAAACAGCGATTTAAAGATCGAAAACTTGTACGCCAAAAGAGCTGTGACTATGATAGCCCACCAATCACTGAGGAGTGTGTAAGTACACGCGGAAAACTTTTATTATCTCCCTGCCAAAAATATCGTGAAAAAGTATCCCAGTCACAACCGTCTTTATTGATTGTTGGCATGGAGGCACACAGATGTTCAAAAACATCCAAATTATCAGAGTGTCCCAGCCGCCGCCGACTTAGTTACTTGCAGCGAAGTCAAAGTAGTGGTGCAGAGAAAGCTCGAGTACGTGACCGCTACTGTTTTGGTGCTAGTCCACAGAGACCACAAAATTCTAATCAGCACAAACATACGACAAAAGGCTACTCTGTCTTGCATCCATTGGCACAGGATCCAATTGCTTGTTCCCATACTGTGCAAGGTCCTATAGATAAAACAGTCTCTCTCACATCATCGACCCACATTTACCCGAACCAGCTGAAACAAAGCAGCAATTCCCCAAACCAGCTGAACCGTAGCAGCACATGTGACTCGCAGTCAAATGACTGCTCAACAACAAGCGATTGGACAGGAGATGATGCAGCCTGTGATGAAGAGGTAAGGCAAATCACTGGTGATGACACAGAAGAAGAAGAGCTTGGTGATGATCTTCTCGACTGTTTTTCCCCTGATGTTCCAGGGGAGCGTACTCTGCTTATAGCTGAGGCCCCAGAAGATGAGGCTGCTCCAAGCAGTACCACAACAGACACTCCAGATAGTAGGCAGAGCATGATAGACTCAAATTACATGCAACAGACATGTAACAATAGCAACAGTTCAACAGATATCTCGGGTAGTAGGCAGAGTGTGATAGACTCACAAGACAAGCAACAGACATGTCACAGTGACAGCAGTTCAACAGATATCTCGGGTAGTAGACAGAGTGTGATAGACTCACAAGACAGCAAGCAACAGGTGTGTCACAGTCTCAACTTAAATCTACTTCCTACAGTGCCTTGTCATGTACTTTCTGCAGATAAACTCAGTTCCAATGCCCACAGTTGTAGTCACTCTAGTTGTCATGATGATAATTGTAGTCACCATAGCAACCAAAACAATAAGTGTAATGGTGATAAAACCTCTGTCTTAGTACATCCACTTTCCTCAGGAGAACCTTGTAAAGACTTAGAACAGGGCGAAATTTGTGATAGGTCTGCATCAGAGGGAGATAGTAAACTGTACACAGCCGACAAGGGGAGTAACTCCTCTGGCACAGCCAAATTTCCTGTGATACATTTTGATGACCCATTACAGGTGCGGAGAAGGCACTGTTCCACAAACTCAGAAGATGGGGAATGCTTGTGATTGGTGACACGAATCCTGAATTTTTCATTGTATCATATAGATACTTGATTTCTGTTAATAACTGTTCACACCAGGAGTTTCATAACAAAGATTATAGATATCATTCCTACATATTAATGTTTAAAACATGAAATGGATTTGTTCACATTAGTTATATTTGTTGTGCGCTGTGGTTTACAAATTAATGTGTCAAATTTGATGAGATCATTACAGATTTTTTATCATATGTTTTACACATTCTTTTACGTCCTATGAATTGTAACTACATACTTTTATGCTTTGTCATATCTCTTCAAATTTGTTCGTGACTAAAATATGACATTTTTGTTTTCATTCTACAAATATTTCTCTTAATATTTATACATAATCATGCTTGTAAATTGGGTTAGTTGAAATAGTCTTTAGTTTAGAAAATTGTGAAAAGTTGTTTCAACATTGTAGTTTTTAAATTCTGTTGACTTATTTTGTTTAGTCATATCTGCAAATCTAATGATTCTACAAAAGAAAAAGTTTCAACAATTTTTCAGGATTTGTGCATGTAACGAAAACCTTGTCAAATTTAAATAATTCCTATTCATCTCTGCTAATCATTAATGAGCAATATATATATATATACTTACTCGTCTTTGGAAATCATTAATGAGGAATTTATTTCCCACTCGTCTCTGGAAGTCATTAATAAGCGATTTATTTCCCACTCGTCTCTGGAAATCATTAATGAGCGATTTATTTCCCACTCGTCTCTGGAAATTGTTACTGAGCGATATTTTTCCTACTCGCCTAAGAAAATCATTAGTGAAAGATAGATTTCTTAGCCCTCGTTGCGTGAGTGATACATTTCTTACTTGTCTTTGAAAATCATTAAAATAATACTCATATTATTGGTGTATATTTGAGAATTTATTGTGTTTTGATTTTGGTTTAATGCATAATCATCAGGGATTACCAGTTATCAAGTCAACTACGTGTGTCTGCCACACCTCTCGACGGTCAGACTGTGTGTTATTTCTGTCACCATTGTTTGTTTAATCTGTCACCAGTGTCGACCTGTGGGATTAGCTACATGTGTCCTGTGTTAAATCTGTCGCCACTGTCGTTCTTTGTGATTAGCTACATGTGTCCTGTGTTTAATCTGTCACCACTCTCAACCTGTGGTATTAGCTACATGTGTCCTGTGTTTAATCTGTCACCACTCTCGACCTGACATATTACCTACAGGTGTCAGTGTTTAATCTGTCACCACTCTCGACCTGACATATTACCTACATGTGTCTGTATTTAATCTGTCACCACTCTCGACCTGACATATTACCTACATGTGTCCTGTGTTTAATCTGTCGCTACTCTCGACCTGACATATAACCTACATATGTCTGTTTAATCTGTCACTACTCTCGACCTGACATATTACCTACAGGTGTCAGTGTTTAATCTGTCACTACTCTCGACCTGACATGTTACCTACATGTGTCTGTGTTTAATCTGTCACCACTCTCGACCTGACATATTACCTACATGTGTCCTGTGTTTAATCTGTCACCACTCTCGACCTGACATATTACCTACATGTGTCAGTGTTTAATCTGTCACCACTCTCGACCTGACATATTACCTACATGTGTCAGTGTTTAATCTGTCACTACTCTCGACCTGACATATTACCTACATGTGTCAGTGTTTAATCTGTCACCACTCTCGACCTGACATATTACCTACATGTATCAGTGTTTAATCTGTCACCACTCTCGACCTGACATATAACCTACATGTGTCTGTATTTAATCTGTCACCACTCTTGACCTGACATATTACCTACAGGTGTCAGTGTTTAATCTGTCACCACTCTCGACCTGACATATTACCTACATGTGTCCTGTGTTTAATCTGTCACCACTCTCGACCTGACATATTACCTACATGTGTCAGTGTTTAATCTGTCACCACTCTCGACCTGACATATTACCTACATGTGTCAGTGTTTAATCTGTCACCACTCTCGACCTGACATATTACCTACATGTGTCAGTGTTTAATCTGTCACTACTCTCGACCTGACATATTACCCACATGTATCAGTGTTTAATCTGTCACCACTCTCGACCTGACATATTACCTACAGGTGTCAGTGTGACATAATGCCTTCATGTGTCTGTATTTAATCTGTCACCATTGTTGACAAGTCAGACTGGCTGCATTCATCTGTTTTGTTTGTCACCGCTGCCGACAGATCTGACTGCCTATGTAAGTCTGTGCACCTTATAATCGTTAGATCTCTTACAAATTATGATTGCGAATATAATAAGAGTTGTTGTGAAAGATATGGATAGAAGTCAAGGAATGGTTCTGATTCATTGAACCCCTTGTGAAGATTCATTCTTCTATTTAATCATTGTATCTCGTATGGAGAATCATTCCTATGTGGATTCATTGGACCTCGTGTGGAGAATCAACCCTGTGTGTATTCATTGGACCTCGTGTGGAGAATCATCCTTGTGTGTATTCATTGGACCTCGTGTGGAGAATCATCCCTGTTTGTATTCATTGGACCTCGTGTGGAGAATCAACCCTGTGTGTATTAATTGGACCTCGTGTGGAGAATCATCCCTGTTTGTATTCATTGGACCCTGTGTAGAGATTCAATCCTGTGTGCATCCATTGCACCTCATGTTGAGAATCATCCCAATGTGTATTCATAGGACCTTGTGTGTAGACCCATACCTGTATATATTCATTGAACATGTGTGTAGACTCATCATTGTATGTATTCATTGGACTCATGCCTGTATGTACATCATTGATATAGGAGAGCAGTCTTCTCACAGTGAAACGTAATATGATTAATGATTCATTTATATGCAAGTAGTATGAGTTAGAGAAACAGAGTTGGATGTTTTTATATAACGTTATTTATATCCTTCACCCAGGATGCACTGAGAACTGTGATGCCAAGATTTATCGTGTCAGTAAAAATGCTTTTTATAAGTTAAATGTTCTGAAGTTTTCAAAAAATAAGGATAAAGTTCTTACTACTTTAATCATTGTGATGGTGCAAAATAATATTCAGAATCAATGACGTGTGTAAATATCATGTGTAAAACAATTAACAGAACATTTGAATAATTAAACATGTAATGTGGAATTTATGGAAAGCGAATTACAGAACGCTAAATAGGCTGATCAGTGAATATCTGCAGTAATATTGGAAGGAAACATGTGCACTGACAATAAAGCTTTTGTAAAAATTACTACAATGAAACATAAAACTCATAGAGCCTTTGTACAGCTGATAACCCTCTAACCCTAAAACAAAAAAACCGAAAGTATCACCAGTAACGCTTTGTTATGTAACAATGCTGAGTTGTGAGTTTCTTTATTGACTGTAATTAACATGTTCTAGCCTACTATCTTATATTGTTAAAGGAGTAGGATATTGTCACATTGTATAGCTAAAACCCAACCATCATAACTACCCCTATTTCTGTCATTTAATGTACTTTTCAAAGTAGTTTCAGGTAGAGTTGGTTGTTCACAAAAAATTTTTCAAATTTGTCTAAAGATACAATGATTAGTTTTGTCACCACTTGATGATCAGACGAATAATATGATGAGTGTTGTGATGTATATCATCAATTGATGATCTGGCGAATTATAAGTTGAAAGTATTTTGAATTTCTGTCATGAATTGATATTTAGAGGAGTGAAAATGTGAGAGTTGTTCTGCTATCAATCGGTGATCAGATGAATGATTAGATGAGTGTTGCTAGTTTTTTAGCAAGGCATGATCAGACGAGAGATAAGATGAATGTTGTGAGGTCTGTCATCAGTTGATGATCAGACGAGAGATAAGATGAGTGTTGTGAGGTCTGTCATCAGTTGATGATCAGACGAGAGATAAGACGAGTGTTGTTAGGTCTGTCATCATTTGATGACCAGACGAGAGATGTGATTAGTGTTGTGAGGTCTGTCATCAGTTGATGACCAGACGAGAGATGAGATGAGTGTTGTGAGGTCTGTCATCAGTTGATGATCAGACGAGAGATGAGACGAGTGTTGTAAGGTCTGTCATCAGTTGATGACCAGACGAGAGATAAGACGAGTGTTGTGAGGTCTGTCATCAGTTGATGATCATATGTGTGATGGGAGTAGTGTTGTTAGGTCTGTCATCAGTTGATGATCAGACGAGAGATAAGATGAGTGTTGTTAGGTCTGTCATCAGTTGATGATCAGACGAGAGATAAGATTAGTGTTGTTAGGTCTGTCATCAGTTGATGATCAGACGAGAGATAAGATGAGTGTTGTTAGGTCTGTCATCAGTTGATGATCAGACGAGAGATAAGATGAGTGTTGTTAGGTCTGTCATCAGTTGATGATCAGACGAGAGATGAGATGAGTGTTGTGAGGTCTGTCATCAGTTGATGATCAGACGAGAGATAAGATGAGTGTTGTTAGGTCTGTCATCAGTTGATGATCATATGTGTGATGGGAGTAGTGTTGTTAGGTCTGTCATCAGTTGATGATCAGACGAGAGATAAGATGAGTGTTGTGAGGTCTGTCATCAGTTGATGATCAAACGAGAGATGTGATTAGTGTTGTGAGGTCTGTTATCAGTTGATGATCAGACGAGCGATGAGATTAGTGTTGTTAGGTCTGTCATCAGTTGATGATCAGACGAGAGATGAGATGAGTGTTGTGAGGTCTGTTATCAGTTGATGATCAGGCGAGAGATGAGATGAGTGTTGTGAGGTCTGTTATCAGTTGATGATCAGACGAGCGATGAGATTAGTGTTGTTAGGTCTGTCATCAGTTGATGATCAGACGAGCGATGAGATTAGTGTTGTTAGGTCTGTCATCAGTTGATGATCATATGTGTGATGGGAGTAGTGTTGTTAGGTCTGTCATCAGTTGATGATCAGAGGAGCGATGAGATTAGTGTTGTTAGGTCTGTCATCAGTTGATGATCAGACGAGAGATGAGATGAGTGTTGTTAGGTCTGTCATCAGTTGATGATCAGAGGAGCGATGAGATTAGTGTTGTGAGGTCTGTCATCAGTTGATGATCAGAAGAGTGATGAGATTAGTGTTGTTAGGTCTGTCATCAGTTGATGATCATATGTGTGATGGGAGTAGTGTTGTTAGGTCTGTCATCAGTTGATGATCAGAAGAGTGATGGGAGTAGTGTTGTTAGGTCTGTCATCAGTTGATGATCAGAAGAGTGATGGGAGTAGTGTTGTGAGTTGTCATCAAATGATGATCAAACGAGTGAATCTATAAGAGATGTAAATTTGTGTAACATCAAGATTATTCAATTAATTCCTGTTTACAAAGTACAATGCAAATAGATGTGACCTAGTTTACTTCCTGCCCGTAACATTTTAGATTTTATAGAACTAGACGATCTGTTAACATCATGTTTTTACTGGTGTTCACCTTATGTAAACTTCTCCTGATCTTGACATGCTTACAAAGACACATGGATATCATTTACAATAAATTTTGCACCATCACTTTTGTTTATCTTACTTTATCACTCGTTGTTTTAACATATAGCTCATTTGGAAGCGTTGGTAGTTGGATGTACCACAGTATACATCAGGATATGTCTAAATCAATAGGTGTGCTATTTAATATCTCTCTCTCTCTCTCTCTCTCTCTCTCTCTCTCTCTCTCTCTCTCTCTCTCTCTCTCTCTCTCTCTCTGTGTGTGTGTGTGTGTGTGTGTGCGCGTGCGTGCGTGGGTGAGTGGGTGGGCGTTGGAGGGGCGATGAGTGCGAGTGTGAGACAGATAACATGTTTCGTTTCGTGCCTTGACAACGTCGTTTTTTTTCAATGTTTTATTACGCCACAATATTTATCTTACATATCCAATATCTTATTCCAGATGTAATGTCTGGTATTTTCCCAGTACATACGCAAATACGCATGCACTTATACACCCTATTAACAAAGTGATCCACTCAAAGTACTCAAAGTATTCAAAGTACGTAGTATTTCAGTTAATTAAATTAAGTAATAACAAGAACAAAACTGCGATAACTTAACGAAACACAATCTACAGTTACAACAGATAATGCCACACCGAAGGCTTGCCATAAGTGATGTCCTTGGTCGCGAGGACTGTTATTGGTCAGTCGTTTCAGGGTCTAGAGCGGTCTCCTTTGATGTAAGCTGCTGTTGCCACATGTCAGCATAGATACCACCAAGATCCAATAGTTCCATGTGACTGAAATGGACGAGTACAATGGGCGTTATTCCTGTTCCTTAGAGATACAAAGGTGAATATGTAGGTCAGTGTTATATACTTTTCTTTTTTCAAATCGTATTACTAAAGTCAATATATAGGTTACCAAATGTCATACGTCAAATAATTAAGCAATATCAATAAACATTGTATTAAGGGATCATAAATTGTTACCATAATGTATTCCTAGTTGAAAATAATATGTCCATATTTGCACACGTACCGATTTCAATGGATACCCGAAGTATTGGAAAGGATGTATGCGCGTGCATCCTCAGGCTACATTGTACTGCTCTTGTGAACTATGATACCGTGAATTTATAGCGCTTTTGTGAACTTCGGTTTCGTGAAATTACACCATTTTTATGAACTTCGTTGTTGTGGAAAAGTAACCAATAGATGACTAGTGGTAACATTATGAGGTTTGACTTTTGTAAATCTTAGCTAAAGCTTAGTTCATTTTCGAATGTTTTTTTCACGATTTGCAACATGATGAATCATGTGAAGACATTTAAAAGATATAGTCGCGCGAGGCATAGGGTTTACTCCAAACTGATCATAGTTATGCCAAAATAATGTGTCTTAATGTTTCTCAGAATGTATTTTTTTATTTTATGGAATCACTATCAATAAATAAATAATGTCCAACAACGACCTAGATCTCGCCACAAGTCTAAGGATATCATCACACCTAAAAAGACTCCTCGCCTTTAATTTAAGGACACAAATACCAGTCGTAGAACATATTCTGACAAGAGTACGTCAAAAAGCTATATACTGATGTGCTATTCAGCAAATAAACAGGCAGTGACATCACTGGAAATCTTCACATACGATTCTGACTTCGATGATGGAATGATGAGGATATGGAGGTCATAGACTGAACGTAGTGCCGACTGCTGTATTGCTCAATGACAGCTTTTGCGTTGGATTAGTGATGGTTTGGATAGGGATAAGTATGGACTTTCACACAGACCTCTACGTCATCGACATCGGATCCTTAACCCCTTTCCGCGTCAGGAACGAGATTCTACACACTATTTTTAGATCCATTGCGGGGTTTGTAAATTAAGACTTTGTTCTGATGGATGGCACTGCTCGTCATTACTGGACTCCAGTTGTGAATGACTTCCTACATAGATAGACAATTGTTCTGGTGGACTGTTGAACCATCATCGAGCACGCTTGGGATAGCTTCCAGGCTTCCCGCTAATCCTCCACAAAACCGCCGGCTATGCAAGATGAATGGCAACGTATCGCAATTATTATGTTCGGTCCTCAGTCAGGATTTTGTTACTCTTTGCTGTCTGCTTTTTGTGACATTAAACAAACATGAAATCGAAATAATCTAAACCTCTACATCTATCATTAAGTTTTCAAGTATTATTGCACTTTTAGCTCACATGGTCCCTAATTTTTATGCGCTGTTTATATTTTCATCGGTACATCTGTGAAAATAATACCAAAGGTCAATATATAGGTCACTTGCTGTCACAGGTTAAATAAGTCATCAATATCGTTTAAAAATGTATCCTCTTTTTCCACATTTTATTACAATGAAGTTGTTCGACAAAGAACGATAGATTACCACAGGTCACAGGTCAAATAAGTTATCAGTAAAAAAAATACCAGCATGTCAACATTATCATAATATAACCCAAATTCAATAAAACACGGATAAAATATGAACAAAAGAAATATTTACACGGTGACACCTGAAAAAGAACAAGGAGAATAAAACAAGATATTTCGGAAGAGTAAGCGTCTTCTGCTTCATCGACGACACCCGCAATGTAAACACTGGTCAATCCAAGTAAGTAATGTCACGCTTTCAAATGAAAACATGGTATACAACAACGGAACCAACAAGAAAACTGGCGAGCAGCAAACACTAGAATATTTCTCAATGAGATCACTATGACGACCGTAAAACTTTTCCATAATTTCCATCAGTCTGCATCTTTTGAAACCCCATTCTACGAGTTTCTCTGTTAGTCGACGACTTCTTGCAAAAATCGTGATATTGTCCGTGAGTCGACGACTTATTGTACAAAAATCGTGATAATAGGAACATACCATTGACTATCACTTAAATACGACAAGCAAACACCGTGGGTTAGAGTAGCAGGAATGTTGCTATCCAGAAACGGAAAAGTTGTCCATGTAGGTGTAGTTTCGTTGTAGGAAAACATCGAGATAAGCAACTGACGTAGAGGAGTTCGTCTTGTCTTTGATTTCAAGATCAGTTGGGTGTATAAGAATGACGTGGTTAATAAATGTCTTGTTATTTAAAGACAAGACATCACCAATATATTGGGAAGTGAAATGTCAATACTTTGCAAGGTCCTGTGACTTGTTTTGACAAGCTCTTCAATAACTTAAGCTTCATATGAAAGCATAACAGGTCCACCAACACAGGGACACAGTTACTTCCCACTGATATGACCATAGTCTTTTGCAACATCTAACCACTGAACTCGACGAAGATGCCAACCAGAAACTCGTTCATTTTTAAGATTTAGTTCTCAGTATTTCTTCTTTGATTTGAACGTATTTTTAACGAAAGACTCTTCAGTATAGTTCACAATCGCATATTTATACCGCCGTTGACCTTTTTTTCTTTCAGTTTATAAAGGATTTTATGATGTACTGGGTAGGAAAAGCAACAGAAACGCTGATAAGAAGAGGATGTTGAATCTTTGCATAGTTCTTTGAAATTCACATACTAGTAACAGTATCACAATTAGACTGTACCCTAGATTTGATATTACTAAGAATGGTGGTTAGTAGTTTTGACAAAGGCACCCAGCTAGACGAGCCATCAATATTTTGACAGTTCTGATATCGATCGATTTGTTTTTCTTCTGAATTTTTAAAATCAATGTGTAATTTCAAGTCAAATTACAGTTACAAGAGAATGTTTCTCTTCATTACTTAAATACTCACCGTAACTTAAACACACGAACACAGTTTTACAGGGTGATAAAAACTACATCTAAATTAAAATTAAACTGCTTGTTGCTATGATCCCAAATCATATCCATCTTTTTCATCTCCATAATGGACATCCTACTAGAAACTCCTTTACAACTTATGTATCTTCTCCAACCCTAACCGATAGCTACTATGATGTCTATATTGTACTTTTGTTGAAAAGTATTCAATACCTCCCTTCCTCCATCACCAGGATCTCCACATACCGGTCTCTTATCACATCACCTTCTCCATCACCAGGATCTCCACATACCTGTCTCTTATCACATCACTTCCTTCATTACCAGGATCTCCACATACCTGTCTCTTAACACATCACTTCCTCCATCACCAGGATCTCCACATACCTGTCTCTTATCACATCACTTCCTCCATCACCAGGATCTCCACATACCTGTCTCTTATCACATCACTTCCTCCATCACCAGGATCTCCACATACCTGTCTCTTATCACATCACTTCCTCCATCACCAGGATCTCCACATACCTGTCTCTTATCACATCACTTCCTCCATCACCAGGATCTCCACATACCTGTCTCTTATCACATCACTTCCTCCATCACCAGGATCTCCACATACCTGTCTCTTATCACATCACTTCCTCCATCACCAGGATCTCCACATACCTGTCTCTTATCACATCACTTCCTCCATCACCAGGATCTCCACATACCGGTCTCTTATCACATCACTTCCTCCATCACCAGGATCTTCACATACCTGTCTCTTATCACATCACTTCCTCCATCACCAGGATCTCCACATACCTGTCTCTTATCACATCACTTCCTCCATCACCAGGATCTTCACATACCTCTCTCTTTTAACCACCCCCCTCCATCACCAAGATTTCCACATACCACCTCTTTAAACCACCCTCTCTTCACCCCCAGGATCTATACACACATGTTCCTTTATACTATTTCTCTTTCTTTCATCATCGCGACCAACTTTTTCTATTTAAACCATTCTCCCTTCATCATAAGGATCTCCACATACCCGTCTCTTTTCACCTCCCTCCCTCAATCACAAAAATCTCTACATGTTTTCCATCAACATGACCTCCACATCTTTTTTATTCTATCGTCATATCTTCTTCAATTAAGGAGATCTAACCATACCTGTCTATTCCCTTCCATCCCCCTCTATCTTCAGTATCACCATATACCTGTCCCCTTTCCCCACCCCATTTTTCATCACCATTATAAGGACATACCTGCCCCTTTCAACCACCGTCCCTTCTTCCATCACGAGGATCTGGTGTGCGTGGATGATTGTTGATAGACGATGGGCTACCACCAATGTTGTGCGACCCTCACATACACGAAGCAGTGAACTTTGAATGTTCCTTTCCGTCTTAGTGTCCAAAGCAGACGTTGCCTGGAGTGAGTTTATGAGTGTTTATTGACAATTTTATTTATCTTTTGTCTTTATGAATAGTAACAAATAAAAAACATTAAAGTAAATATCTGAATATAATCATGTGATTTGTGACAGTGACTATTTCCCAGTTAATTGGTTGCTGTTTCTGAATTGGGGAAACAAAATATAATTTTCAAATGATAAACTGATCAGAGGAATAAAAAGTTAAGACGTTTTGCATTTTGAATGAACTAACACTTGATATCTTTACATCTTCTTGTGTACCGCCGTAGAGAAGACATCCCGACTGTACTAGAAGTGTTTTTATACGTGTATTGTATCGTACGTCATACACCTTTGTTTTGAATAATTCTTTCAAATTAGGGTTCGTAATTATAGAATATGATAACTCATTGCTGTTGCTTTGAGATGTTGACATACCCACCTCGAGAAGAACAACTCCTGGTGACAATCTATCTCATCAAGAAACAACAATTGTTGGGGATTACCAACCTAATCAAGAACAACTGCTGATGGTTACCCATCTCATCAAGGAGAACATTTGCTGATGATCACCTACCTACTCAAGAAACATAACTGTTGATTGTTACCTATCATATCAGGAAGCACAATTGCATGATTTTACCTACCTCATCAAGAAGTACAACTGCTGGAGATTTGAGAAGGGTTCTAGCAATCGCTACACGTTGTTTTTCTCCTCCACTCAATTTAAGGCCCCGTTCGCCCACAAGTGTTTCATACTCTGCAATGTAACAATAGGCAAACGAAGCCTGTATGGTGTATAAGATATGACGGTAAACGCCCACAAGTGTTTCTTACTCTGCAATATAACGATAGGCAAACGAAGCTTGTATGGTGTATAAGATATGACGGTAAACGCCCACAAGTGTTTCATACTCTGCAATGTTACATTAGGCAAACGAAGCCTGTATGGTGAATAAGGTATGACGGTAAACGCCCACAAGTGTTTCATAATCTGCAATGTAACGATAGGAAAACGAAGCCTGTATGGTGTATAAGGTACGATGGTATATACATTGACTGTAAGGAGAAAGTTATTGTAGTAAATATCAAATGGAAACGTGTAAATATCGTCAATTTGGGTATATAAGGGCATGTGTTAGGCATTCTTGGATGACGTAGCTTACTTTGAGGAAACGTGAGTATCCGGTCATGAATGTCCGCTGCCTCGGCTGCTTTCTCAACCTCCTCATCAGTAGCGGTCACTCGGCCGTATCTGATATTGTATTTGATGTTATTGTTAAACATGACGATATCTTGGGGGACAACTCCAATGCTTTTCCTTAAACTCTCCTGTTGTACCTGTTATTACAATGACACCGTGTCTCAAGGAAACCAAGCTCTTACTGATTCACTGATATATAAAACAATTTAATTTTCCTTCACAATCTTGATGTAAAACTCGGAACGGAAATTGAACCTAAAACGATATTTAAACGATGTTTTTCTATTATAAAATAATGCTTTGTAGCCAGTTACGATAATTAATCTGGTAAACTCCATCATTTAAATGGGCGTTATAAGCAGTTTTACATAGTCATGGAGTGGGCAATTGTAAAGCTGCACATTCCCTTAAAGTCATCACATTGGATACAAATACATTTCAATCAGAAGATAACAGATATTAAGAAATTAAGGATTAAAGATGGATAGATGTAGAAATATATTGCAGATAGCCATAAGTGGTATGAATTAATATGCAAATGATAACGTGGCCCTCGAACAGGAAAATATCTATAGATATGACATCCTTTAACGATTAATGGTTTATTGTATCTTTCGGGTTGATCAACAAACATTGGCGATTAACAAATGATGGTTAAGTCTCCATCTAAAAGTAATGCAGATATAATAACTTAACACCCCTCCCCCTCCGTGATAGGGAAAATAACTTTGTTAAGAAAAAAAACAAGTATGTGAAAGGGTTTCTCACATGCACTCATTAAAGGCGTTAAAATATCAATAAAACCAAATTGAGCCCATACCCTTCTATAATGAAGATAATTGAACTTGCTCAATAAATATCTAACAGGTTGTAGTTAAATGCTGAATTAGAAATAACGTATAAGACATACTGTGTTTATCCATATTAATTTAACTCACAAAGGTCAGGGTTTTTTTTATCTAGTGTCAGATGAATAGACGACAGTAACATTGTTAAGTCCCTAAGTATATATTACCACAACAACAATTAACACTCGAACAGTAACTTAACTTGATAACCATTAACTAAGTATCAGATCACAAGACACTTGTTTTGGGTAGTAAAGTCATATTGTTAAGTCCCTAATTATATATTACCAATTTACAAGCAAAAAAATCTAAACGTAACAACTATTCAGACAATTGCCTTGCTTTTCATATTTCTAATAAAAAAACGGATTGTAAAAATAATCCGCCTTCTACAAAATACAAAATCTTATCAATAGCTATGGCGGAAAGAACGTTTGTTCCCAATCTAATCCTTTTTGTTTAAAACAAGTGCAGATTTCAGACACATTCGTCGTTTATGCATTGCAATGTATCAAAAATAACGATTATATGCTACTCACTGGGCCATGTTAAGAATTATAAGTTTTAAATACCTGAGATATATCTTTGCCATCTATGAGTATGCAGCCCTCCATGACGTCGTACAAACGAAAAAGCAAGCGCACAATTGTACTCTTACCACTGCCGGAATGACCAACCTGTCAGGTTTTTAAAAAAAGAACAATTAAAGATACGGAGTAGCATTTATAACTATCACATGTTATTATGACTCACCTGTCATTGTTTCATTGGTACTACTACTATAACAGCAGGGCTGATTCACCTGTCACGGTTATTGACTTACCTGTCACGGTTACAGTGTTACTTATATACCTGTCGGACTGACTTACCTGTCACGGTTACAGTGTTACCTATATACCTATAGGACTGACTTACCTGTCACGAGTACAGTGTTACCTATATACCTATAGGACTGACTTACCTGTCACGGCTACAGTGTTACCTATATACTTATAGGACTGACTTACCTGTCACGGCTACAGTGTTACCTATATACCTATAGGACTAACTTACCTGTCACGGTTACAGTTTTACCTATATACTTATAGGACTGACTTACCTGTCACGGTTACAGTGTTACCTATAGGACTGACTTACCTGTCGCGGCTACAGTGTTACTTATATACCTGTAGGACTGACTTTAGGATTGACTTACCTGTCACGATTACAGTAATACCTATATACCTATAGGACTGACTTACCTGTCACGGCCACAGTGTTACCTAAATACCTATAGGACTGACTTTAGGACTGACTTACCTGTCACGGTTACAGTGTTACCTAAATACCTATAGGACTGACTTACCTGTCACTGTTATTATGTTTCCTATATACCTTTATGACTCACTTACAATATACATGCGTTAATTTAACGATTATATGTAAAAGGCTAGAAATGATAAAAAGATAGTACAATGGATAAAGCAAAAGACGCTAATTGATAGTCAAATGAATGGGCTGGGATAGAGATTGAGTCAAATGAATGGGCTGGGATAGAGATGGAGTCAAATGAATGGGCTGGGATAGAGATGGAATCAAATGAATGGGCTTGGATAGAGATGGAGACAAATGAATGGGCCGGAATAGAGATTGAGTCAAAGGAATGGGCTGGGATAGAGATGGAGTCGAACGAATGGACTGGGAAAGAGATGGAGTCGAATGAAGGGGTGGGAAAGAGATGGAGTCGAATGAATGGACTGGGATAGAGATGGAGTCAAATGAATGGGCTGGGATAGAGATGGAGTCAAATGAATGGGCTGGGATAGCGATGGAGTCGAATGAAGGGGTCGGAAAGAGATGGAGTCGAATGAATGGACTGGGATAGAGATGGAGTCGAATGAATGGACTGGGATAGAGATGGAGTCGAACGAATGGACTGGAATTGAGATGGAGTCGAATGAATGGACTGGGATAGAGATGGAGTCGAATGAATGGACTGGGATAGAGATGGAGTCGAACGAACGGACTGGGATAGAGATGGAGTCGATTGAATGGACTGGGAAAGAGATGGTGTCAACTGAATGGACTGGGATAGAGATGGAGTCAACTGAATGGGCTGGGATAGAGATGGAGTCGAATGAATGGACTGGGATAGAGATGGAGTCGAACGAATGGACTGGGAAAGAGATGGAGTCGATTGAATGGACTGGGATAGAGATGGAGTCAAATAAATGGGCGTGGATAGTGATGGAGTCGAACGAATGGGCTGGGATAGAGATGGGGTCGATGGAATGGACTGGGATAGAGATGGAGTCGATTTAATGGGCTGGGATAGAGATGGAGTCGATTGAATGGACTGGGATAGAGATGGACTCAAATGAATGGGCTGGGATAGAGATAGAGCGAATGAATGGGCTGTGATAAAGAAGAAGTCAAATGAATTGGCTGGGAGAGGCCGGAATGTTATGATGTAGGATTGAAGTAGGACTAGTGCCTGGAGTAAGGTAGGACGAGGCACCAGATGATGTAGAAGTCGGTACCTCTAGTGTAAAGGAAGGATATATATCATATCTAACCAAGTACTAATAGTACATCGACGATAAAATATATTTACCAAGGCATATGTTTCACCAGGTGGTACACAGAAAGACACATTTTTCAAAATAGGTTTTCTGCAAGAAAATGAATATTACAGATTTAAAATGTTGAAATACATGGTACATCTGTCAAAGTACTCCAAATATTATCAATTGCCAAAGCTACACCATAGTCCATTTGTTATAGTTACTTATTTAAGCCTATCACCAAGATAAAGATACGATAGTGTGAACACAAATAAGGAAGGTATGCTATTTTTAAGATTGCACGCTAGTTTTGATATGTACAAAGGTTAAATGAGACTATGAAATTTCCCGCCGAAATCATGTCATAGCTGTCATAGGACAAAACAGAGATATCTTAGCTGGATCACTTAACAGATTCAAGCAAAAATATTTAAATGTAGTTTAGATAATCTTCGGTTAGAATAAAACCAAACTAAGCCGGTGCTTACACACATTTTTAACATCCACTCAGTGATCCTTCTTTTAATCAAATATGTGAAGATAATTAGGATATATCAGAGCATATATGTAAAACCGCACGCCAGGCTCAATAATATCCAAAATGTTGAGTTACTTAAGAAGAGGCTTGAACAAAAGATTTAAGCTTTCATATCAAATGAGTTGATGTATGACGCCTCCAGAATGCATGGCTTAATTTAATGAGTACTTAGATCTATATTTCGACGTTATTGAGTTGTTAGATCTATAACGTCACGCTAGGTTTATCGAGTACTTAGATCTATAACGTCACGCTAGGTTTATCGAGTACTTAGATCTATAACGTCACGCTAGGTTTAACGAGTACTTAGATCTATAACGTCACGCTAGGTTTAACGAGTACTTAGATCTATAACGTCACGCTAGGTTTATCGAGTACTTAGATCTATAACGTCACGCTAGGTTTATCGAGTACTTAGATCTATAACGTCACGCTAGGTTTATCGAGTACTTAGGTCTATAACGTCACGCTAGGTTTATCGAGTACTTAGATCTATAACGTCACGCTAGGTTTAACGAGTACTTAGGTCTATAACGTCACGCTAGGTTTATCGAGTACTTAGGTCTATAACGCGACGCTAAGTGTATCGAGTACTCAGGTCTATAACGCCACGCCAGGTCTATTGAGTACTTAAGTCTTTAACACTACCCTAGGTTTATTGAGTACTTACATCTATAACGCCACTCTAGGTTTATTGAGTACTTAGATCTATAACACCGCGCCAGGTTTATAATGCCACACTAAGTTTATCGAGTAATTTGGTCTATAACACTACCTTAGGTTTATTGATTACTTACATCTATAACGCCTCTCTAGGTTTATTGATTACTTACATCTATGACGTCATGCCAGGTTTATCGAGTACTTAGGTCTATAACGCCACGCCAGGTATATGAGTACTTCGTAACATACCAAGCCGATGTATTGAGGCTAATGGAAGACACTCACTATTGTTAGTATAAGTGAACCCATTGAGGCATTTTGAATTTCCTGCGTATTGGAACTTTATTTTGTTTTAGAGGATTTTGGAATGTTTAATGACACTTTAATTATATTGATTCAAAGTGGGTCGAAATTAGTTTCTTATTTTAAAAAAAGTAAACCCTAACATTTTGTATCATGTATGAACTGTCAAAAAATGTTTATGGTCATACCTCGAATCATAGTGAAAAGATACATTCTTGAACTCTATCTCCCCATTAGTGATTTCTAGCGGTTGTGCACCTTCGATGTCCTTCACCTACGAAAGAACAAAGGCCATAATTATCACTCAAAATTTATCAAATGGATAGAACATTGTTGCCAAGGCGTCACTTAAAAAGATATATCAGGAGTAAAAATGCTATGTGTCCCGAATGGGTGTTTTATTGATAGCACCATCTTCGATACAGTAAATACAAGACTTTCTGTTAAAGTACAAGTTACAAAAACTCATTTTATTACAATATCGCTTACCTCTTGTGTCACTCCAAACAGATCAAACATGTTCTCCATGTCTATAAAGGCCGCCTGTATCATTCTATCAAATGGAAACAATCGGTGCTGATCGCTGTTTCACATTTTTATTTACGAAATGTTTTAATACAACACTTGTCAATACTGCTTTTAGAAATGCTTAATCGGCAGCCTTTTCCATAGATTCACACAAAATTCCACTTCAATATTGCACAACATGATCTGAAGAAAAAGCTAAAATTTTGTTTCGTTTTCTTGTAGAGTAGTAACGGCAGTCATTAAGATTTCGAGTTAAGGTAGATGAAAAGAATTAAGATTAAAAATAAGAAATGTTACTGTAAAGAATTACTGTCAATTATTTACATTTCGCGAATACTTTATTTCGCGAATGTACCTGAAAGGCAGATTCGCGAATATAAAATTTCACAAACGCTGATCTAGAAATGACTATTTTTTTTTTAATTCGCTTAGGATGAATTTTCAGAGGCCATGACTCATCAAGACTCCAATATCAGTATCCCAATCAACATCAACGTTATTTTCGTATAATAATCATGTTAATAACTTACCTGTAATAATTGCCTAACCAATGAATGGGCCCATAGAGTTGATTTATATAGGTTCCAAACAGTACATAATCCCCTACAGTTAGATGTAGACCCTTGAGGCCGTAGACGACTCCCCAGCCGCAGAGTAGTGTCCCCGTCACCATTCCACATGCTATCACTATGTTTTGTACCAGGTTCAGTAGATGGAGTGATAGTATGCTCACAAACTCAGCTTTCTGCAAGGTATTACATAACCATATGTTAACATGAAGGAGTATACCTATGTACCTTTTTATTCCTGATCACCTAGCTATCGCTCCAAACCCTAACCAGTAGGACTTTCTACTTTTTTCTTCATACTCTCCCTGTTGTTGATATTAAAAGACTTCCACTAAGAAACTCGATTTCTATGCACATTCTTATCGATGTATGTTTTATTCTAATATCAACCTCGATCCATATAGACAAAAATGGATCATTCACTTTTTATTTTTTTTCTTCTAGATATCCACACTTCACAGACGTGTTCTAGAACGGTTTTGTATATAGCAAATTAATCATTCTACATCTAATGCATTTATTATTGAATTTGTTAATTTTTACATTTCCATGACAACCAATATGTATCTTCTCATTCTCAGGTATCAGCTACCCCTTTGTTAGACATCGTTTGTAATGGACGGTCAGGTTCTTGGAGAAATGTACCTGGTACTTATTTATTGCTTCCATGTATTGTCCCTTCTCAAAGTCAGCCGCACCGTAATACTTCACCTGTATAAATAGATATGTATGTATATAAACAGGTATGCATGTATATAAACAGGTGTGTATGTATATAAACAGGTATGTATGTATATAAACAGGTATATCTGTATATAAACAGGTATGCATGTATATAAACAGGTGTATATGTATATAAACAGGTATGCATGTATATAAACAGGTGTATATGTATATAAACAGGTATGTATGTATATAAACAGGTATGCATGTATATAAACAGGTGTGTATGTATATAAACAGGTATGTATGTATATAAATAGGTGTGTATGTATATAAACAGATGTGTTTGTATACAAACAGGTGTATATGTATATTAGCAGGTGTGTATGCATATAAACAGGTGTGTATGCATATAAACAGATGTGTATGTATATAAACAGATGTGTTTGTATATAAACAGGTGTGTATGTATATAAACAGGTGTGTTTGTATATAAACAAGTGTATATGTATATAAACAGGTGTATATGTATATTAGCAGGTGTGTATGTATATAAACAGGTGTGTATGTATATTAACAGGTGTGTATGCATATAAACAAGTGTATATGTATATAAACAGGTGTATATGTATATTAGCAGGTGTGTATGTATATAAACAGGTGTGTATGCATATAAACAGGTGTGTATGTATATAAACAGATGTGTTTGTATATAAGCAGGTATGTATGTATATAAACAGGTGTATATGTATATAAACAGGTGTATATGTATATAAACAGTTGTGTATGTATATAAACAGGTGTATATGTATACAAACAGGTGTGTATGTATATAAGCAGGTATGTATGTATCTAAACAGGTGTAAATGTATATAAACAGGTGTGTATGTATATAAGCAGGTATGTATGTATATAAACAGATGCGTATTTATATAAACAGATGTGTATTTATATAAACAGATGTGATTGTATATAAGCAGGTGTGTATGTAAATAAACAACACAGAGTTGTCTACATACACTCGGTGAAGATTCATTTATTCTATCTATGGTCGTGTGAAGCAGTACAGGATAACGCTGAAATTCTATACTGAGAGGAAAAAGAAACGCAATTAGGAATTTCCAGGTCAACTACGGAAAATAGAAAAGGGTTTTAGAATGTAATTATGGTGTAACTGGAAGATAATTGACCACTCTGTCATCTTCGAGAATTTCATTTAAATTTGACGTTGATTCAAGAGTACCCAACTCAAAAAGAAGCGCGTTCTGCCCCCATCAATATCGGTGTCTCCCGCGAACTGAAGTAACTGCACGAAGTCGTTTGTGCATTGAATTGATGGAGGTATTAACCCTCCTCATTTGGTATACGATTCCAATCCTCATCCAGTGCCAACGCCAACTGAGCGACGTTGATTAGAGGATTCGGTCTACGTCTTATCCTTCTGTCCAAATGTTCTATTGAGGAGAGGTCAGGGCTGTATGGGGGCCAGTCTAGGGTGGGGACATTGTTTGCTAAGAGATAACCACGGCAAACCCTCGCTACATGCGACCAGGCGTTGTCCTGCTGAAACGTCAGTTGACGCTGCTGTACTTGAGGAACTACATGTGGTGCTAGGACTTGATCTCTTTAGCGGACGGCCGTGAGATTTCCCTGAATAACGACCAGAGGAGTCTTGATACCATGCGCAATCCCCCCATACCATGACCGATCCTCCTCCAAAGCGGTCATTCTCTATCACGCAAGTGTCTGCATAGCGCTCGTAGGTACGTCTATAGACATGACGTCGGCCGTCTGCCCGGTAAAGCGAAAACCTGGACTCATCTGAGAATAGGACCCTTCTCCAACGTTGCATTGGGAAGCGTCTTACGGAATATGCGTTCATCCATTGCATTCGTCTGGCACGTCGCCGCGCATTAAGCTGTGGTCGAACATATGGCTGCCGCGGTCTCAGACCGAAGGCACGCAGTCGAGTACGCACTGTCTTTGGATCAATTGGAACATGATGACGCCAAATTGTGTTCCTTGCTGTTTCCGTGACCGTCAGAAAGCGATTGCGTGGGTGCGTAAGTCGCATTGCCCTATCCTGCCGGCGCGTCGTCACATTAGGGCGACCGCTTCGGAGACGGTCTGCAACCCTTCCGGTGGCAAATGTTCGATGGATGGACTCCAAATTGATTAGCGACCTGATTTTGCGGGGTACCTTGCATAAGAAGTGCAATGGCACGACCCCTGTCAACTTCGGACAGTCGTGGCATTTTTTAAGGTGAACTGTTTATGTTTAAAATGTGGGAAATCAAGACGGATATGTCTGAAGATTCGCACACACAGATTTTGAACCAATCCTTTATATTAGGTTCGATAAACCGTGCTTTTGTCTCTTATTCTTTTGTACAAGCGGCGTGCGCAGTTTAGTTATGCATCAGTGATTTTAATAGAGACCTAACTCAAATGCACACATTTGTCAAGTTTCAAGGGTGTACGTCAAGGATTTACTTTACAATATTAAGTTTCTGCTAATTGCGTTTCTTTTTCCTCTCAGTATATTTTGACTCCCAGGATCATTATCGCTCAATGCTAAAAAGCCCACCACCTACCAACAAACAATAATGCCGGTGTCTACAGGATTCAACAATATATGTTCTTTCATCCATGATAAAAAAAAAAAAAAAAAAAATACCATGATCTAGATATTCGCATGAAAATGAAGGGTGGTAACTCTGGGAGATCAGAAAGGACTAGGACTATTCTCGGGCCCCATCGGCTGTCATAGTTATCGCTATACCATTCTGCCAGTGAAAATGAAGGGTGGTAACTCTGGAGGATCAGAATGTACTGACAGAATGAAAATTAAGGGCAGTTACACTTACTGTTTCAAAATTGAGTAAAGCATCTACTGCCTTTGCGTTCTTTTCATTGTCAAGTCGGTTCATATCCCTCCTGTACTTTGTTCTCCACTCCGTTATTATCATTGATAAAGCTATAACAAAGTGAAATGTGTGTAGTGGAAAAAATAACGGGACTAGTAATCAATAAAAGTGTATATAGATAAATATAAACAATCTAGTGATTAGATTAGTATATAAGATATTTAGACAGCTGCATTGGAAAATGTGGCATACCCATATATGTGACAATGCTGAAGAAAACAATAAGACCGAACAGGTAGTTGAACGCTGAGACGAAGAAGACGATGGCAATGGAGATGTCCACCAGGATAGGGAGAACATTGAACAGCAAATGGCTATAAGATAAGAAAAAATACTAATATAAAATCTTAATTCAGACTGAGATTCTAGGAAAAAAGTTGTTAACAGATAAAACATCTCACTGAGATCTAGGAAAAGTACTAGAAAAATTAAAACAAGAAAAAAATATCGACGACACCAGGCATTTACAAATGTTGGCATAACAAATGAGAATAAGATGTATAACAATGAAGCAACAACACCTACTTCAATGTAACTGAACCAACAGGCATCTCATCATATCCTGTATTTTAGATTTTTCATGGAAAACGCGATACTGAGAACATGCCCTTCAAATACGACGAGCAAAGATAGGAGGTTGTTGGACCAGGAGTGCTGATATCGAGAAACGTAAAATTCACGATAAGAAATCCATTATTAAGAAATCTGTCGCATCCTTGATGTAATATGCTGAAAAGTATACATAGGATCAGCCACATCCGATGATAAAATCCTTGGATTTGGTGTTCCACAAGGGTCGGTGCTTGGACCTCGCAAGGACTGTCTGTATTCGACACCAATTGGTGAGATCTGTCGGCAGTTCATCACTACGGATGCATTCAAGACACTGTTACATTCACTTGTGACTTCTCACCTGGACTATGGGAACGCCCTTTTATATGGAATCTCTGACTCGGCAACTAGGCGCCTGCAGAAAGTCCAGAACACTGCTGCGCGTCTGGTTTCCAGTGCTAGAAAACGTGAGCACATTACACTCGTGTGCTACATTCCTTACATTGAGTACCTGTGCATTATAGGTCACAGTATAAGATTCTGATGCACATCTACAAAGAACTCGATGGAACAGATCCTGGTTATCTAACAGAGCTCGTCACTCCCTACCAGCCTTCACGTTCACTACGGTCAGAGTCCCTGCTATGTGTGCCTACGTCGCGTACTGTGACTTATGGTGACTGATGTTTTGGGAAGGTTGAAGCCACGCTGTGGAATAAGCAACAACACTCACCACTTCCAAAAAGGATGTTAAGAACCATCTGTTCAGGTGTGCTTTTTCTCAGACTAGTAATTTTTGCTACATGTACATACATGTGGTGTTTTTCTGGTGATCATGCGGACACAATGATCAGCATATCATACATATATGTAGATGCATAATGTATTATTGATACCATGACTGAAATTTTACATGCACTGTAAAGTGCCTTAGAGTAATTTGTGAAATTATATAGGGCGCTATATAAATGTTGTATATTATTATCATATGATGGAAATGGCCAACAATGTCTATTAAGGCATCACCGTTGTATCTAAAAATGAGGAAGAAACTTAAGAACTTAGCATGATCTTGGTGACCTCCGTTTATAATCCCTTTGATTAATGCAGCTTTGTATTAAAACAGGAACAAAACATCCAAGAGCGAGGAACAGTTTCTTCCCATTGATATATTAAAAATCTGTAGAAAGAATTTATCATCAAACTCAACCAACATATACCGTACCAGCTATTCTGGAATACGCCACAAATATCCCATTACTAAAACGGATTCCCTAAATTTAATGATTACTAATTAATCCCGATGACTGATAAATTATTGATTATTTGAAACTTCTAACGGACTAATAGATAATTGATTATTTGAAACTTCTATATAACTGATAGATTATTGATTATCTGAAACTTCTATATAACTGATAGATTATTAATTATCAGAAACTTCTATATAACTAATATATTATTTATTATCTTAAACTTCTATATAACTAATAGATTATTGATTATCTGAAACTTCTATATAACTGATATATTATTGATTATCAGAAACTTCTATATAACTGATAATTGATTATCTGAAACTTCTATACAACTGATAGATTATTGATTATTTGAAACTTCTATATAACTGATAGATTATTGATTATCTGAAACTTCTATATAACTGATAGATTATTGATTATCAGAAACTTCTATATAACTGACAGATTATTGATTATCTGAAACTTCTATATAACTGATAGATTATTGATTATCTGAAACTTCTATATAACTGATAGATTATTGATTATCTGAAACTTCTATATAACTGATAGATTATTGATTATCTAAAAATTCTATATAACTGATAGATTATTGATTATCAGAAACTTCTATATAACTGATAGATTATTGATTATCAGAAACTTCTATATAACTGATAGATTATTGATTATCAGAAACTTCTATATAACTGATAATTGATTATCTGAAAATTCTATATAACTGATAGATTATTGATTATCAGAAACTTCTAAATAACTGATAGATTATTGATTATCTGAAACTTCTATATAACTGATAGATTATTGATTATCAGAAACTTCTATATAACTGATAGATTATTGATTATCTGAAACTTCTATATAACTGATAATTGATTATCTGAAACTTCTATATAACTGATAGATTATTGATTATCTGAAACTTCTATATAACTGATAGATTATTGATTATCAGAAACTTCTATATAACTTATAGATTATTAATTATCAGAAACTTCTATATAACTGATAGATTATTGATTATCTGAAACTTCTATATAACTGATAGATTATTGATTATCTGAAACTTCTATATAACTGATAGATTATTATCTGAAACTTCTATATAACTGATAGATTATTGATTATCTGAAACTTCTATATAACTGATAATTGATTATCTGAAACTTCTATATAACTGATAGATTATTGATTATCTGAAACTTCTATATAACTGATAGATTATTGATTATCAGAAACTTCTATATAACTGATAGATTATTGATTATCAGAAACTTCTATATAACTGATAGATTATTGATTATCAGAAACTTCTATATAACTGATAGATTATTGATTATCTGAAACTTCTATATAACTGATAATTGATTATCTGAAACTTCTATATAACTGATAGATTATTGATTATCTGAAACTTCTATATAACTGATAGATTATTGATTATCAGAAACTTCTATATAACTGATAGATTATTGATTATCAGAAACTTCTATATAACTGATAGAATATTATCTGAAACTTCTATATAACTGATAGATTATTAATTATCAGAAACTTCTATATAACTGATAGATTATTAATTATCAGAAACTTCTATATAACTGATAGAATATTATCTGAAACTTCTATATAACTGATAGATTATTGATTATCAGAAACTTCTATATAACTGATAGATTATTAATTATCAGAAACTTCTATATAACTGATAGATTATTAATTATCAGAAACTTCTATATAACTAATAGATTATTAATTATCTGAAACTTCTATATAACTGATAATTGATTATCTGAAACTTCTATATAACTGATAGATTATTGATTATCTGAAACTTCTATATAACTGATAGATTATTGATTATCAGAAACTTCTATATAACTGATAATTGATTATTTGAAACTTCTATATAACTGATAGATTATTGATTATCAGAAACTTCTATATAACTGATAGATTATTGATTCTCTGAAACTTATATATAACTGATAGATTATTGATTATCTGAAACTTCTATATAACTGATAGATTATTGATTATGAGAAACTTCTATATAACTGATAGATTATTGAATATCTGAAACTTCTATATAACTGATAATTGATTATCTGAAACTTCTATATAACTGATAGATTATTGATTATCTGAAACTTCTATATAACTGATAGATTATTGATTATCAGAAACTTCTATATAACTGATAGATTATTATCTGAAACTTCTATATAATTGATAGATTATTGATTATCAGAAACTTCTATATAACTGATAGATTATTGATTATCTGAAACTTCTATATAACTGATAGATTATTGATTATCTGAAACTTCCATATAGCTGATATATTATTGATTATCAGAAACTTGTATATAACTGATAGATTATTGATTATCTGAAACTTCCATATAATTGATAGATTATTGATTATCTGAAACTTCTATATAACTGATAGATTATTGATTATCAAAGACTTCCATATAATTGATAGATTATTATCTGAAACTTCTATATAACTGATTGATTATTGATTATCTGAAACTTCTATATAACTGATAATTGATTATCTGAAACTTCTATATAACTGATAGATTATTGATTATCAAAGACTTCCATATAATTGATAGATTATTATCTGAAACTTCTATATAACTGATAGATTATTGATTATCAGAAACTTCTATATAACTGATAGATTATTGATTATCTGAAACTTCTATATAACTGATAGATTATTGATTATCTGAAACTTCCATATAATTGATAGATTATTGATTATCAGAAACTTCTATATAACTGATAATTGATTATCTGAAACTTCTATATAACTGATAGATTATTGATTATCAGAAACTTCTATATAACTGATAGATTATTATCTGAAACTTCTATATAACTGATAGATTATTGATTATCAGAAACTTCTATATAACTGATAGATTATTGATTATCTGAAACTTCTATATAATTAATAGATTATTGATTATCTGAAACTTCCATATAATTGATAGATTATTGATTATCAGAAACTTCTATATAACTGATAGATTATTGATTATCTGAAACTTCCATATAATTGATAGATTATTGATTATCAGAAACTTCTATATAACTGATAGATTATTGATTATCAGAAACTTCTATATAACTGATAGATTATTGATTATCTGAAACTTCTATATAACTGATTGATTATTGATTATCTGAAACTTCTATATAACTGATAATTGATTATCTGAAACTTCTATATAACTGATAGATTATTGATTATCAAAGACTTCTATATAATTGATAGATTATTATCTGAAACTTCTATATAACTGATAGATTATTGATTATCAGAAACTTCTATATAACTGATAGATTATTGATTATCTGAAACTTCTATATAACTGATAGATTATTGATTATCTGAAACTTCCATATAATTGATAGATTATTGATTATCAGAAACTTCTATATAACTGATAATTGATTATCTGAAACTTCTATATAACTGATAGATTATTGATTATCAGAAACTTCTATATAACTGATAGATTATTATCTGAAACTTCTATATAATTGATAGATTATTGATTATCAGAAACTTCTATATAACTGATAGATTATTGATTATCTGAAACTTCTATATAACTGATAGATTATTGATTATCTGAAACTTCCATATAGCTGATAGATTATTGATTATCAGAAACTTCTATATAACTGATAGATTATTGATTATCTGAAACTTCCATATAATTGATAGATTATTGATTATCAGAAACTTCTATATAACTGATAGAATATTATCTGAAACTTCTATATAACTGATAATTGATTATCTGAAACTTCTATATAACTGATAGATTATTGATTATCTGAAACTTCTATATAATTGATAGATTATTGATTATCTGAAACTTCTATATAACTGATAGATTATTGATTATCAGAAACTTCTATATAACTGATAGATTATTGATTATCTGAAACTTCTATATAACTGATAGATTATTAATTATCAGAAACTTCTATATAACTGATAATTGATTATCTGAAACTTCTATA